CTCTCCAGCAACATCCAGTTATGTGGCTTTGGAAGTCGATGTTTTTGGTGGTTTATTTTCCCCATTTCATAAGGCTTATTTTCTCTCTTTTACCTTCTCTTTTCTCATGTTAGATTAATCTATATTGCTTCTGTATTATGTGACTGTTCAACAATTATACTGGCATGATATGGCAGAATTCCTTTTTTCTCTTAGAACTGAAGTTCTCAAGCCTTCTGTGTGTCAGTTGTTTCCTTTGCAGTTCAGCAGCAATGAAAACATATGGCCTCTCACTTAAAACTGAAGCAGCAGTCTTAAGAAAATGCTCTGTTCAGTGATGATAAACCAAAATCCACATTGCTCACTGCAGACTTGCAAAGAATGTTGTTTCTATCTGGGTCAGTATTTGCTTGAATGTTTTTGTGTTTGCTTTGGATGCAGTAATGCCCTTTTCATGTTATGTTTTCTGGCAACATTTAAGAAAGTCTCTTGCAGACAAAAATGTTCACTCTGTGTGTAAGTTACGCAGGTAGGTGTTTACCTTCCTAGACACACTTGTGGTCTGCTCCGGTTCAGATGGGAGCACTGTCACTTGGCATTCCATAGCTGCATCTCTGCAGTTCTACTGAAGTGCTGTACTCTGCAAGCTCAGAAAATACTTGCTTCCTCTCCAGGTTTATTTTAATGCCTTTTGCTGCTTAATAATGCAGCAACGTTCAGGGAGCTCAGGAAAATCCTATGTATACATGATCAGGGAAAGGAGGGAAGGGAGAACCTAAATTCCGGTGCTAAATTGCTTGAAAATTACATGCTTGGACATTAATTTTTCTCTTTTAGGCATATGCAAATTGTGTGGGTAGTGTTTAAAACACTGCATTTGAGATGATAGAGAGACACTTCCCTTTAACGTGTCAGTAATAGTAAATGGATACCATCCTATATGAAAATATTTTTAAAAAGCTTATACTTCAATCAGAACAATTTTTAAAATCATTCTTCAAATACACTTACTAATTTTACTATTGCAAAACAACTGTGGAGTAGTGTCATTTTGAGAGGCTTGGGGAAGGATTGGCTTAATTTAGGGTTTTTGACAGCACTCTTAAATAACACAACAACCCCAAGGTAAATGCCAAGATATGGATAGTTAGTTTTGTTGATTTGAGGATAGATGTGTGCAGAAAGCCTCTTTAGGGAAAAATACTCAAGAGCATTTGTTTTATTTTGTGTTTTCTTTCCTTAAATTGATATGGGCTTGCTTCTGCTCTAATGATGAGGAAAGGCATTACAAAGACACTGTATGGATTAATAATCCCCTAGAAGTTTGGCAGATAGAGGTGAGGTTTTCCTTGTAAAAGGTCTTCCATAACCTTCTTCTGCTGTATAAGGTGTGTATTTCAGCTTCCTTAATATTTTTGCTTCCTTCTAAAATTGTCTCTCTGAAGATTTTGAACTAATTGAAGTTTGTAATAGTTAGATGTAGCACAATAACAGTATGTACATGTAATGTAGTCAGATATTTTTGTATTACTTCCCTGTCCTGTTTTTTTCCCAAATTATATTATGAAAAGAGAAACTGTTACCAAAGCCCTGGGTGTATCTGTTCATAACGTGTGCATGTGTAGTAGGGCTCTTAACTTTGGGCATCAAACATTTGAGGGAAGTACAGTCGCTATGTAGTACCGTCCTCTCATGTGAGATACTCTCCAGAATATGGTCTCAGCTGCTCTACTGCAAGGGATAGCTTACGTAACTACGATTAAATACCTGAAATACTGAGACACTGCACTTCCTCAACCTAATTCTATAGAGAACTAATGTTACCGGGATGTCAAATCGCATCTTTCTGATGAACCGTAGCAGAGCTGACTAACTCATCTCCTCCTAGACGAGCTTCCACAGGTCAGTCTAATAGCATGAGGCATGTGCAGAGTAGCTGCCAGCCTCTAGTGCAGGGTATCATTAGGGCATGGTGCAACAAATATTACAAGGACAAAGATCACTGAAAATATTTATAGGAGATAGTTTCTATGGTTCGGGAGCGGAATGCCGCAGGCAGTATTTCATTACAAACAGGATTCCATTTTTTCTTTCTAGAAAGGCAATTTTTTGTGTGTGTTTAAAAAGATAACTCTCTCTCTCTCTCTCTCTCTCTCTCTCTAATATATATATATATATATATATATATATAAAAGCATGCTATTAATGAGGATAGTACCGCTCTCAACCTTAGTTTGATTGGTCCTGTTACTGCCCTCCCCCCCCCACTGCCCCTGTCACCTCCCCAGACAAGTAAAATAACTTTAGATTTGAATAGTGAAAAGATGATTTCAAAGGCTATATATCCCCTAAGACACAAGAAAGCAACAGCAGTGAAATGTTAATTTGAAGAGAGACTCAACTTGCCAGCTGTCTCTGAAAACCTCTTTCCCCCGCTCATTGGTGTGGGAAGTGTGACCCCCTCCCAGATCTCTGCCGGAGGGGCCTGGGAGGTCACCGTGTGTCAGTGCTGGAGGAGAGGAGGGTCTTGCAGAATCCTTCACCTTGCGAAGACTCAATAACACCCTCAGCTTGTGTGTGTGCTGCCTGCAGGGTCTCAAAAGGGCACAGCAGTTTGTGTGCATAAACTAGGGAGAAATAATCCCTGGCTGGTGCTGTTTCCAAAGTATATAGGAATGATACCTGTATAGAAGGAGCTGCTGAGAAGTAGGATTTAACATGTTTCAACAACCACTTCTCACCTTTGAGAAAGCAGAAGATAAAAGACCTGTTCCACAAAACTGTAGAAGAAGACCTTCTGAATTTAGTGAATTTTAAATTGAGGCCACCACTTTTTTGGGCACTTGTTCTTGAAGTCCCATAAAATAGCTTTAGATACTATTTCATTAGATAATTACCCAATTCCCAACATCTGCTTTCTGTCTTAGTCAAAGCACTAGCCAACTGAGTTCCAAAAACATACTCTTCTGAAGATTTTTCTTTGTTTTCTCGTTGTTGGTGAGGTTTTGGGGATTCAGGGTGTTAGTGAATAGGTAGCGAAAGATCTGAATTAATTGCATCTAGTGAATGTGTTTTCATTAAACTGTCTCAGAAGGCATGAAAAAACAGTTCTTAAGTATGGCTATAATCTTTCCTGGTAGATTCTCTGTTGATTGTTATTTAAGAGTTACTGTTTTAACCCTTTAAAAAAAAAGACCAAAGCAACAAAACAAGTATACAAAAACCCCAAATAACCCTTATTCCACCCTCCCCCCCCCAAAAAAAACAAAAACAACCATCCAAACAAACAAAAAACAAAACCCAAAAATCTTTTTAACCCCATTTCAGCATGATACCAGTGCTGTAACCATTTAGGGTCATTTACAAAGAGAATCAGAAAACATTTCAGAGCCTCGGTTACAGGAACTAAATAAGCAGTAAGCACTTGAACTAAGACAACTTCAACACCACAAAAGCACTGATGTTTTCCAAGTTTGTTCTCTGAACTCAGTGCAACATTTCATTCTCTCTTTACCATAATCAAAATTTGATGTGCATTCTTTCTTAAATGGCATCTGATGTGGTATCTCTCTTCAGCTCTTTGTGGTTTCCTGTTTTTTATACACAGATGAAAGTATCTGCTGAGATCTATTAAACTTCACATTTTATCATTTATGACTTTCTCGATATAAGCCTCCAAGTAACAAGTAGGTTTCTTTGCACTTAAAAATGTAGTGAATGCCTGATGTGGTAGAAATACAGTAGTGTGTCTTTAGTGTTGTACTTCAAATTACTACTTTTTTTAATGTAGGTTAACTGCATAATATTTATTATGCAGACTAACTTTATGCAGTTGAGCTTTTTTTTTCCCCCCACACAGTACTGTACTACCAAGTAATATACATTTCCACGTAAGAAAACAGTTAGACAAAATATTTTGGCTCTTAAAAAATAGGGCAATATGAACCGATAAAAATTGCAAGAAATATTTATTTGTGAGGCCTGTGTCTGTTGTAATTTTAGCAGTTATTAACAAAATATTACTATGAATGTGTGAGATCTTGTTAAGTTCTGAAAATAGTTATATATTGGTTAATGGGTTTGTTGGTTACATTTTGGTTAATGAAAATGTTTTAAAAATATCATATAATCTGCTCTCAACGTGAGGCAGAACTTACTATAAGAGGTGCTATGGCTTGGCAAAATCTGGATTTGACCCTAATGATATGAGCAGAAGAATTGCTATTCAATGATTTCTCATAGTTTCGAGAGTGATAAAATGGAGCACTTTGAAGTGATCAGCCTCATGTCAGATTCCAATTACAAGCCCTTGGCTGGCAAAATAACTAATCTGCATTATCTCTGACTATGCAAATAGATACTGAATTTGACAGATCACTGTTTTGTCTTACAGGGGCTAATTTTAATTTCCTTCTGTTGTAATTTTTCACCTTTTCCCACATTCACTACTGTCTGAAAACACTCCCTATCCTGCAGGAATGCGTGAAGGTGAAGATCTGAGATTATATCTTCTAATATTCATGTAACTGTCATGGGCCATGACAGGCCTCGGACCAGTATCGGTGGTGTCTGGTTGATTGCTGTCATGTTACCTGACCAGTGTTTATGAGCTATAGCTATAAAAAATGTCATCACATTAGATACTAAATTGATGCTTATCATTCTGAGAAGAGAGGGTGAGAAGAAAGGAGTTCTTCACTAAGCACAGAGCTCTTGTCCTTTACGCTGTCTTCGAGAGGGTGTGGGGTTGGTTGCTGCACCTGCTTGGTAGGACACTTCAGTTTCTGCAGTGCTTTTGTTGCTCTCCTAAGGAAGCTTGAATATTTATCATTGTAAAAACAAATTTTGACTGTATTTAAAGGAAGGTAAACTGTTCATTCATTTGCTTATGTTGTTTTCAGAAAACTTTTTTTTTTTCCCTATAGAGAAACCAAATCAATGTTCCATTTCTTTTAAAAGTCCACTTCTGATGTCTTAAATATGTGGGTTTATTAAATTTATTATTTCCAACCCTCTCACAGAACTATAGTGCCATGGAAAGTGTTCAGACAGTGCCTTCATGAAGTTCACCAGATAAGCTCTGGTTTGGAAGCAATGGCTCTTAAATCTACTATTGATTTGACCTGCAATGACTACATTTCAATTTTTGAATTTGATATCTTCACTAGATTATTTCAGGTAAGATTTGAAAATTTTAGATACTTTTACAAATTTGAGAAGCTTAGTGTCCTGAGGCAAGTACCTGTAGGTCAAGGAAGTGGGTTTTTTTGGAAAAACTGAAATAACTGAAACACTAGAATTCAGAAATAAATTTTAGTCCTTCACAGATGTTTGGGGCATCAACACCTACATCTGAAAAACTGAAAACATCCAGCAACACTTTCTTCATTTCTGTACATATTTAATATATTTGCAGTATCTTTGTGTTTGCTGCTTATTTTTCACTGTTCTTAAATGCATTCTAGAAATGTAGACCTCCGGGTACTTATCTGAGTTTAATTTGTGTTTTCACTGTGTTTTTATATCCACATATACTTAGATAAAGTGTTTCTACAAACATATAAGGAAAGTTGCATGTGACTTTTTTTTTTTAGGCTAAATGTAAGCATAACTCTTTATGAACGTATTTTTGCCATTAATGCTCTGCTGTTTATTTATTATAAGGGATTATCTTTGGGAATAGCATTAATTGTATTACTGTTAATAGGAAGTATTTATCTGAAATAAACCTGTTATGTGTTACATGCCTCTGTTAACCTTGTGTCCCTTCTACAGAACATACTTGAAGTATTTTAGTAAATATAGAAGGCTATGCTGGTTTGCATCCATATTAAGATGTATTGATTCTGAATTTGTCACTTCGGATATTTCTTTTATATATAGGAATCTTTGAGGTATAAACCATTTATTTGATCATTTAGTTTCTTTACCCCATACAGTGATAAATAGGTGCACAGCCTCAAATTGTGCCAGGGGAGGTTTGGATTGGATATATTAGGAAAAATATCTTCACTGAAAGGGTTGTCAAGCACTTCGGGACATGGGGGACGTGGCAGTGTTAGGTTAACAGTTGGACTCAGTGATCTTAAAGCTCTTTTCCAACCTAAATGATTTGATGATTCTGTGATGATTCTTCAGCTTAATGGAGATATGTTTGAAGTGCCAATTTTGTGTCAAAGCCTGGGCCATATGTTTGTTCTGTCTTCCATGTTGTTTTGTGATAATCCCTATTTGGCTTTCTTGGTTTTGCTGCTATGGGAAAGGGTACCATTACGAAGTTAATATTAAGATTTGGCAGGAGGTGATTAAAGGTTTTAGTTTACAGAGTTTTGGTTTTGATCATCTCTTCCCCAGTCTGAGTCAAAACTGTATCAAAGTTGAAAATGTTACAGTGTAAGTAATCTCCCTGTTTAATTTAACCACAGACATTGGTCACTTATTAAAACAGACAGGTTATGCAGGTTTCAGCAGAACTTTGGGCGTTCTCTTTGATGAAATAATAAACTAGAGAATATAGATCATTGTCCTTTATGCTGCTTTAGCAAAATCCCCCTAAGCTTTGCCCTTTATGTGGGGTTTGATACAATCGAGCATTTCTGTCTGAATGTTGCTGCCTTGGGTTCAGTTTCTACTCTGTCAAAGTGTATCCCTTTTATTCAATATTTGGCAAACTAATATGGTGTTCAAGTTAGTAAAAAGCTGAAATCTTGATCTCAGACTTGACTGCAAAATGTCTGAAGCATCATCACTATGAAATACATTTATTTGTTTCCTTCCTGTAGGATTTCTTTTAGGGTTTTGGTTTGTGTTTGGTGTTTTTTTGTTGTTTTTTTTTTTTTTTTGTTTGTTTGTGTTTTTTTTTTTTTTTTTGTTTTAATTTGTATATCAAATATAAAAATAAATAAATCAGCAATCTGAGAAGTGACAGTTTGTTCTGATGACCCTGTGTGGAGTCCCATAGGTTGTGTTAAACTTCAGGACAGACGCCTCAGATGAGATTTATTTTCCTTGTTCTGTAAGCCAATGAATCTGTTTGAATTAGGTTTTTTGTGAGGCCGTTGCTGGTTTGATTCATTACTGCACCTTATGCTAGAAAAAGGGGATCAGTAGTACTGATACATGTAAGGAGAGAAGATTGGTCAGGATTAATTTTTAATTTAGCAAAGAGCAGAGCGAATTTTTGCCAAACAGATTACCAACGGGTGCAATAGCTGTGTAACTGTTGAAGTGAACTTGCACTGAACTTGCTCTGACAACCTCTCCCAGAGATTACGTTTTACTTCTCTAGTTTTTAAACAGCTTCTCTAACTGTGTGTGCATACACCCACAGAGAGAAAATCCCAATTGTTTAAGTAATCAAAATACTGTTTTGCCAACTGTGGGTTGTGTTACAGAAAAGCTACATTTATAATGATGTTTATTCACAGAAGAAAGGAAGACTACTTTTTAGGAAGATGCTGTAGAAGTGAAGTTGCTCCCCCTGCCTCCCCACTGTATGCATGCACAGCTTTAAATGCTGTGTTCTCTGACCAGAGATTGTTAGCACAGCAGAATATGTAGATGCTCTGGAGGAAAGGAACTTCATTCTGTCACTGTTAACATGTTCATTTGAGTTGATCTTTTATGCAAAAATATTTCCATAGAGGAGAAAGTATACAAATCTTTTCCCATTTAACATTTCTTTATATTTGTGTGCACTATGGAAGCTATGACTTCTTGCCCTTGGATTTTTCAGTGGTACTGTCACATCATTATCTAGGTATAGCAGTAGTGTGATTCTCTGTACAGAGTCCAGGCATTTGAGGAAGGTACTGTCTCCTGTCAACTTGAAAGCTTGATGGATGTGATTGACCAAGGAATTAGCATGTTACTTGAATTTTTTATATAATGTCTTGTAGCAAGCCTTTATGTTACCACAGTCCAATGAAACATCAAAGTACTGAGTGTTTGATTACCCTTTTTGATTTACATGCGTGCACTTGAGTAACACAACAGGAGAAAGAACATTGTGTTTTTGTGAAGGAAGTGTCAGTATTGGTGTGGTGAAAGGGGAAGAATCAAGTCTCGTTTTTTTCTCTAGTTAGGGCAACTAAAATTTTTCATTTTATGAAGCCTCCTGGCTCCCATCTTTGGTGAGAGTGCAGAGAGGAGCTGGCAAGATGTGGTGTTGCATCTGGAACTGTTTTGTTTTTTTTTTTTCTCCTTCCTTTTGTACAAATTTGAACACTTAAGGTTTCCTAGAGCTTTTGTGATGAAATCTTACTGTTCCATTTCATGTGTCTGATTTGAAGAGGTATTAATTTTGAAATAAAACTGGTGTTTATGTAGTGGTTAGGATTTGACTGGGAATTGTATCATACTCTCAAGCAGAACTGTTAGAATACTCTGCTCAAGTGTATCATACAGACATTTCATCTCTACTAGCCCTTAGAAGTCCTTTTAAAGGGAATTTGTAGGGCACACAAGAACACAAGTCTCTTGTGTTGCTTAACTTCACCTGCTTTGATCTTTCAACAAATACATTAAAAAAATCTCCAAACCATTCAGAGGCAGTTTCTTGTTTCTCCAAATGCTGGCAGTGAACACTTAATATATTTCTATTAACACACTACTCTAAAAATCATCCTTCATTTACAGTAAAGGACTGTTCTGTTTTCTTCAAAGTGCTAGCATATCAGACATGTTTCACTGAGTTTTCTGAGGCATTTGCTGTTCCGGTCAGCAAAGACTGTGATGAAGTGCTGTCAATATTTGTTTCGTTTTCTGACTGTAATACTATTATGGTAATGGGAAAAATCAAGTAGTAGAGAATAGGAAAAGGAATGACAGCTCAAATTAGTGGTGTTACTAGGCTTCATTTGTTAGTGTTACTTATCATTAACTATGAAAGTGCCTCAGGACCTCTCAAGAATAGGCTTAATTGTGTTTTTATTAAACCATCGTGGAGCCATACTCTCCAGGTTCTAACTAAACATGATGTTTAATATTTTATGAAGCTACAAATAGGAGATCCCTTAAATTCAAGGTCTTTAAAATCTTTATCCAAAAACTTACACTTGATGTTCTTGGAATAATGCTTTTGAAGGACCCCTTGTAGCAAAGCTGGGTATATAGGACCATCTTTTGTACTATATAGACCTTAACCAAAAGTGTGTATTTTTCAGCTGAATATAAAACAGTATAGGTGTCTCTGACAAGCTCACTTGCGTTTTATTAGAAATATGTAACTACCTGGCCGCATCTGTTTAATTGTTTCTCTCTTCTCTTTAGCCATGGGGTTCAATCTTAAGGAATTGGAACTTCTTAGCTGTAACACATCCTGGATATATGGCATTCCTGACATATGATGAAGTGAAAGCGAGGTTGCAAAAATATAGCACTAAGCCTGGGAGGTGAGAAGTTTTGCTGATTATTGCTTGCCAAATAAACTTGCTGTCTCAGAAGCTACATAACTATTCTAGGTTCATAGTTGTATATTATGTGATCCTGCAATATTGAAGGAGTGAATTTTTGGCTTTTTTTTTTTTTTTGGTAACAGTGAATTAGAGAAGTAGCAGGGTTTTTAATATATATTTGTGATTTTATTTATATCAAAATGTATTTTTTCAAGTAGTTTAATACTAAAGCTCAGAAGTCCACATTAAAAAAATGCTGACCTTTTAGATTTTAATACATAGAAATTTTGTAGCCATGATCTGTTGTTTATGCCATAATTGTTCTGCAGTGCTGTGAAGCAAAGAAATACTGTATTAGTGCACAAAAGTCTAAATAAGGACGAATAAACGGGAAAAAAAAATGAAAGTACATTCCTTTTCATTTCTTCTTCTGAATTAGGTACAACAAGCAATGCATTGTTGAAAAACATATTTGAAAACAGAATTTGCTTTTCAACATTTGCATTGAATTGTTGCTTAATAGTAAAGTAAAAATCATGTTAACATCTTTCATGGTATCACACTTAGATTATGAATTTAATCAGTACTTATGTGTTCCTTTTATGTTCATATATTTTTTTTCTTTGCCAGTAATGATTCTATATCACAAAGTATGCACCTAGAAAAGAAATCTGTCAGATCAAGTATCATGCCATGTAGAGTTTTTAAATAATTTCAATGTGGTGCTATACATACTGAATTATTCAACCTGAAGTTTTAGTATTTATGCCACTTCTGTTGCCTTATTTTTTTTCTTCACTCAGATTGGAAAGCAAATTCATTAATAGATTTAATCGTATATTAATTAACTTTAATTTTGTTAGTTTTAGCTTTCAGTTATAAAGCTTTTTTCCCTAATGTCTAGTTGTCTAACTTTACTGCAAGGTCACATGTATACATAATTAAAGGTGCATCATTTTGAAAGTTGTTAGAGAAGTCTAGCAACAGTTCTATCCATATTCTGTACTTGACTTCTTTTGATTTTTAGAAAGCAATATACTGTGTCTTGTTAGGTTACCTGACTGGTCAATTCCAGTAGAATAACATTGGTTCTTAGCTTGCCACTCATGAACACTACTGTGGAAGTCAGATAACTGTGTTGATCTTGAGAGTCGTTGCTATACTTAGTGTTTTTTCTATTATTGATTCTGATTCTGTGATTATAAAAAAGAAGTAATAGAGAAATTATCCAGAGTTGTCTTTATGTTCCTTGTAAATAGAGTTAGTTTTAAGATAACTTTCTATTGCATATCAGAAAATTACTTTCTGAATTGCTCAGGTGAAATGCTGGAGTGTGAAAGAGGAGATAGGAAGTGAAATAGCTTCTTTAATCTGTCTAATACATCCTGAAAATTACAAGATTCTGTTCAAATGAATAGTTACTTCAATGTAATGTCCCCATTGATGGTTGTAAGAGCTATGCGAAACTTCAGGGAGGCTAAGATTTCTCTTTTTAAACAGTTTGGAAGGAAGTAAAATATTGATGTGTAATTAAGAAAAGCTGTTCTGTTATACAAAACTGAGTTTGTGGTATTTCACTGTGGGATGCTTTTCTGTATGAGGCTTTTGCATATGAGATGGTGTCTGACATGAAAAGGGACTGGAGTTTTGAGTAAGAAGAACTAAACGTGCCCAATACTATTGCCTATAATCTTCCTTTTCCTCCTACTGTGCTCTTTGTCTACATTATGTATAGTCCCAGCTATCAACTGTAACGCACAGAAGTATTTAAATTTAAGTCCAGTTGGGCTGGTATGATCTGGTATTTTCTGAAGTAGAACTGATATTTCTTCTGTCCATCTCCTATGGTACACACAAAATTAGCATGGCTAGTAGACCAGTTTTTATTATTCATTGTTCACATTTCTGTTGCACCTAAAGATGTTTTATATTTCCCCTTCCATTCATTCAGGTTATTGGCCTGTGTATGCACAAAAGGTATATGCTGTAGCCATGGAAACTTGATAACACAGCATAGTTTTTCAAAAGGTTTATGGGCATGTCTAAATGTACGTAATAAGATTACTCACAGTGAATGTGCAGCTTTCACTTTAAGAGCTAAAAGGCAAGCAAATGAAAAGTTGGAAATAGGGTGCTACTGTTACCTTATTTCTGCCCATGAGGAACTGACAGAGTAAGAGGTGCAGAATTATTTATACAAAGAACACATGGCAGAATTGGGAATTTGACCCAAATTTTCAGAGACCTAATTCACTGTCCTAACCAGAGGCCATCCTTGCTATCTTCACTTATTTTGCTGAACTCTGATTAACACTGGATTTTTATTCATCCTTTTTTTATCTAGCTACATTTTCAGACTGAGTTGCACTCGCTTGGGGCAGTGGGCCATTGGGTATGTGACTGGTGATGGGAACATACTGCAGACAATACCTCACAATAAGCCTCTGTTTCAGGCTTTGATTGATGGCAGCCGGGAAGGATTGTAAGTACAAATTCCTATAGTTACCATAAGTATGAAATCCTGATTTTTTTTTTTTTGTTTGATTGTTTTCTGGTGCTTATATCAGTAGTTATTAAAGATCTTTAAAACAGAGAATCTGGATATGGTGTTTAGCATTCCTTCAGAGTATAAGAACCATCCCTTTTATTCATTTGAAAAACGCTTGTTTCCAGGGAATTCCATTAACCAAACTTAACAAAAACCATATCTCAAAGCAGATAAATTCCAGGAGAAAATAAAATCAGGCAGCTGTCACATTGATTCCTCTGCTTCTCCCCTGTTCCCCCCGTAAGAGTCCAAAATGCACTTAAACTTATTGAACAATTACTACTGCCAGTTATTCATGTGTCTAACTCTGGACAATGATTTGAAAGCTGTGTAATTGCTTTTTTATATATTGTGCAGCCAGAACATTTTCCAGCTTCTAATAGTTTACTGAAAAGATTTATAAATATAAGAGAATCTAAGTTTACTGAGGGGAGTAGTACAGTTTTACTAGATTGGCTGAAGTAACAGACAAATTTTTGGTGTCAGAATCTTTCCATTGGAATACATGTTTTGATATATCCACATAATCATAATGAAAAAAAAAAAACAAACAAAACAAAACAACACAAAAAACAACACAAGAAAATTGATCAATCCCCCAGAAAAGACTGGGAAACCCTTTACAATCTTGCAATTTTCCTTAGTCCTGCACAGCCCAGTGACTTTTTTATTTTTATTTTTTTTTTTTTTCCAGGTATGACGATTTTCATACCTGTAACAAAAAACACACTTACAATGATAGTGTTTCTACTAGGCAAAAACTGATGGAACAAAAACTAGCCCTGAGAATATTTAATGCAGAGTGAAGTTTTTGTATCCTATGTAAATATAACGTTTTCACAGTGTGACTTCACAACACAGTTTTCAGGAAAATATTTCCAAGTCAGAGGTAACATAAATCTGAATATAGAACAACTTAGTGTGTCTGTAATATTGTTTAACCTATTATTAATTTCCCACAGGATTGAAATGCCTCCATCGGTCTTTGCTTAAAGTTCAGGCTGTATCTTGGATTTTCAGTATAGATTCTTGTTACAATATACATAGATTTATATATGTCATAATATACACAGGTACACATATAATATTACGACATATATGTAGTATTATATATGTCATATTACACACAGATAAACACAAATGTCTGTTACCTTCTGTTCTACTCCATTACTTGAAATAGTCGATACAGTCACCAAGTGTGATGCTCTCAGTGGAGAGATCACTAGGAACATATGCAAGTATAAGCTCACTGTGAAATTGAGATAAAATTAATACTCTGTTGAGCTACTTCCAGAAAGTTACCTGCTAATCAGAGCTCAGTTGAATTCTGGTGGTAGGTATGCACATGATGTCAAAATTGGTCCTGTGCTTTTATAGACAGACTTGAGTATGTGTCAAAATGCATATGTAGCAATTCAGTTGTACCCAAAAGATATGAAAGATGGATGAGGAAAGATGATGCATTTTAGTTAATGTCTACTGTATCTTATTCTGCCCCTTTGAAATTTCATAGATACTGTATAGCTAATAAAGCTAAAGAAATGTTTGTATTTATAACAATCTTCTTGTGATGCAGCTATCTGTTCCCAGATGGACGAAGTTATAATCCTGATTTGACAGGATTATGTGAACCCACACCACATGATCATATAAAAGTCACACAGGTATGTTCAGAGTTTGTCAGTTACTTGGCAGTCTTCACTTCCCTTACTATCTCATCTAGCAGTGATAATAAGCTTTTATTAAAATGTGAGAAATAAATTCAGAAGTGAAAATATGTTTGATAGAAGGGTTTAGATGAAGAACAGGATAATAATCCCTTAAACTCTAGAGCCAATGGTGATGCAGATGATATGTATTTGAAAGTTTTGTTTATTCTAAGCCTCTTCCAAGTCAGAAATGTGTTAATGGTTATTAAAGATTCTGATATTTATGTTACAGGTTTATGTGTCTTGATGTTTCTTTGATAATAGCAGATGGGAATATAGAAATAAAAGCAAGATCAAATTATAGTTTTTAAGCCTGAATAGAAATGGTACCTTTTATTAACAGGTCCAGGAGGAAAAGTATAGTTCATATATCGCAAAGATATCGGTTCCAGGGTGTCTCTCCTTTCTTCTTTGTCTGTTTTGCAAATTAAAAGAGAGATCAGGGAATGGCAACAGAAATAATTTAAAGGGAGTCACTTTGCAGAGAAAATTAGAATATCTAGATGTGTTTGTAGTCTTACTAAGTGATGATGCGATAACTGAATGTGCGGATGTTTGATACTCAAGTAGTAGGAAGTAACCACCACAAGACAAATGCTTGATTAAAAATGGTGCTGAAATTAACGCTAGAAGGTTAAGGTATATTGTGTAGAGCATTTTGCCTAACAAAAACATCTGGAAGACTTGAGGATATGTTCAGGGAAGGATATCAGACTAGATACAAGCCATACTGTTTCAAATGGTCTTCCATTTCTTCAGAGCATTCTGAATGACCTGCTGAATATTCTGTAATTGAATGGTCTATGTGCATTCCACCTCCACAAATATTTTAGAAAATAAGTATTCATTACCATCTATGATATTATCAGGAATATCATTGTGAAAATACCTGCTTCCTAAGTAAGAGAATCACTAAAAAGAATTACCTGAAGAAAGCCTGAGTAGTTCTCTGATTTCCCTCTTTTCCCTCCAGTCTTAAAATAGTAATGAAAGAGTGATGCAGAGATACTGTATATTTGTGTTGCACAGAATGATTTTCTAGCCCCATATCATTACTTTTCCTCAAGGAAAGGAAAAGCAGCTTAGACTTTCTCAGTGATTACCTTGTTCTTCAAAGCCAGTCATCGTGTATTTTTGACTTCACTGAAGGAATCCAGTTGCTTCTGAACTTGTAGTTATGAGGACACCATTCGTTAATGCTGATGGTAATTCAACAGAGTCTGAACTATGTGAATGCTGCCTTAATATTTAACTGTGGTAGCTTAAAGCTGTCACTAGAGCTGCTTAAACTATGAAAAGATGGTATAAAAGTGGCTGCAGAGCTAGACTGCTGCAAATGGATTCTTTATGAGAGCTCACCATAAGCATCTTTAGTATATACTGACTACAGCTGCAGATACGAGCTCCCTTATTTTTTCTTTTTCTTAGCTTCATGTCCCTTCCCTTTACTCAGCAATAGCTGCTTATTTTCCTGTGACCTGTATTGTATTTATTTTTAACTTTCAAAATTTGGTTTTTCAAAATTAAAAAGGCTTTATTTTTACACAAATACATTTTTGCCAGTTCCCAACAATATTTTAGTTCTAGAAAAGTGTTCTGGACTCAAGTTTTATCTATTATTTATTTCTCCTGAAGGTGTTCTTATACCTTCCTGTCAGTCTTGTGAGGATACAAAGTACTGAGCGATGGGTGCATGCCTGTTGCCACGTTATCCTGGGTGGTATTCGTTGCCTTACTCTTACAAGGGTTGTTTACTTCAGTTAATCGGACTACCACACTACATACTTGCTGCATGTAGAAAGCTCTCTTGCTTGTCAGTTTTCAGTCCAAAACTTTTATTAGTCCTAAACTTATACCTAGGAAAGGAAGTCCCAGTTTTATTCCCATTCATCACTTAATTTCTCATTAACAACTGTGTGTTTGTTATTTTCTTCTTAATTGCAACCAGGGAGAAGCAGGATATGTGCCTTGCATAGTAGTTACATGTGAGAAGCCTGTAGAAAACCTAATATGCACAGATAATTTTAAACTTTTCTTTGTAGTATGTATTGTAGTATATCGTTGATTTGAAGAAGCAAAAAAGTAAGCTGTTTCAGCAACCTTAGTGTGACTTAAATAGATCAGTAGCAATAATTTCCTTGTCTAATAACTAAAGTGGGTTGGAAAACAGGGGACTCGGGGCGGGGGGGGAGTTAGTCACTACTGGTGCTTAAGTATTTTCTTTGTGAACACATCACAGTAAAGGAATAATTACTTGACTTTCTTTTGTTACAGGAGCAGTATGAATTGTACTGTGAAATGGGTTCCACTTTTCAGCTGTGTAAAATCTGTGCAGAGAATGACAAGGATGTGAAGATAGAACCTTGTGGACACCTTATGTGCACTTCTTGTCTTACAGCGTGGCAGGTACTGTCATAGTTCAGTTAGTGGAGAAGAGGATGGATTTCTCTGTTACGTCCCTGTTTACAGTGTGGGTATATGTTTACTTTTCCAGGTACTCGGTAAGAGGGTTCAAGGACATATATATTTAAAATGATAAACTAAAAAATGAAGTTCCAGGAGTCATTAAAATCTGGTCTTGTAGGCTTGCCAAGGCCATTAGCTGACTGCTGCTAAGTGGAAACTATTCCCTGAGCACGGTATCTACTCAGACAGTGAAAGCTGGTCATTTGGTGCCAATTCAGCCACACAGGTCACATCATTCGAAAGGCCTGAAGAGGACAGGTAGCAGCTGAGAGTGGATAACTGACTAGACAGGGTTTTGTAAGGAGACAGGATGTCTTTGGTGAGAGGATTTGATCAGTAGTGTAAGTCATCCAATGTCCTGTGGAAAAGTAAGCTTAGGATACTTGTGTTTCATGTTAATAATATGTAAGGCACTAAACCACCTAGCTTTAGAAGGTTGTTGGGGTAGGAGATTGAATGGAGAGGACACTCATCTCTCAATGTCATTTACTGAATATCGCACAAACCACAGAGACTTCCTGGTGCCACAGATGGGTGTGCCTTGTCCATCTTGTTCATGGACATACCAGTCTGTGGGAAAAGGGAGGACTGGTACCTCTAGTTCAGCATAGTTAACAATAATTTGACTTAAAAATTAAACTCAAAACCAGAGGCCACTCATCTTTACAATTTAAGACTTTACCCTAGTAGGTGCTTCTCAAACTGAATCAATTCTGCCTCCTTTTCCCTGCCCCTTTCTTCTTTCATATCTGCATCTTTGCAACCAGCTGTAATTGGTCAGGTACGTTTTGGACTTCATTACAAATTTAACTTTTGTATAATTAGTGAGGCAAAAAAGAAGTATTACACTGTAACAGCATCAGCTGTTGTGAGCTTCTGGTGGGCTAGTGTTTAATTGGCAGCGTAATGGGTCATTAGACATGCCTCAAGAGGTCCAATACAGATGTTTTCACTAAGCAGAAAAAAATTGAGTTAAGCAACATCAGATCGGTATAGAATACTAAGGATAATTCAGAGTTATTCACTTTCATGGAGATCAGGCTCTCAAATAAGAGTTGGCTTAACTGGATCCTTTTTGTATTACACAACAGGAGTAAAATGTCATTTTGCTTCCACAGAAATCTAGTCTTGTTTAAAAACTACCTATCTGGACTTGATTCTAAAAACATATGGGTATATATGCTGCATTGTAAGGTTCACAGTAGCTACTCTCAGGGTTCTAAATAACCTTTCTGTGGGCATGGACAAATGTGTATTCATATAGGCATCTCAGATCTCAGTTTTAATTTCTCAGGTGTATTCATAATGTTGAATACAAGGCTCTGCTGCTGTGATGGGTTACCCAATATGTTTTGGTGAATGTAGTGCTTTTGAAAAGAAGAGAAGGAAACTGGTAGTACAGAACTATTTGACAACACAGCTACAAGAAAGCCTTGAAAATTAAAAGCTCTGTGCCTCATCTGTAAGGCAGTTTTTAGAAAATGAGACTGAAGAATTGTGTAAGGGAGGACTTCTGTTGACTTGACAGTGATTACTTCAGTAGGGCCATATAATTTGGAGGCGCTCTTTCAGGTAGTGAATGATGTTGACTAGTCCTTTGTAGTGTAGGATGCAAGGCTGCTAAAAGTAGATTACATATATCTTCTCTTAGAAAATGAAAATCCAGTACTAACCATGCAGATAGACAGGACTGTTGTCATGTGACATCATTTATAGTTGTCTGGCCTTGGAATACAGTTTGTCCACAAACAAAAATCATCTGTCAGTTTAGTAAGACTGGCAAGTGTTAGGATAAAAATAATGCTAGAAGAAAATTAAACCTGTCCTTACATTTGAGAAATCAAAAAGCTTTGCTTGCCTGAAGATATTTCAGGACAGGTAGGTGGTTTAGAATTACTTTTGATGTTCTTATCTCTTTGCAGTCAGGTAGAGAGACAGCTAAATATGACACAATGTGATTTCTGAAATCAGATTGAATTATCTTGATCTCAGAGTTTCAGGTCTCTTTTGGGTGTAGTTGGTCTTTTTTCTACATTGTGCCTCTCGATGGAAAAATTTCTTTGTAAGTGCTTGAAAGACTTCTCTTTTTGTTTGTTAGTAGTCTGAAATCTACTTTAAAGACTTTTTGATTACTTCTGGTGATGAAAAAAATACACTTCTGAAATTAATAAGGAAGGGAAATACGGCTGCTTGAAAATAAACACATTATACCACTTAAAAATTAAAATTCAAGCAATTCTTGTTTCTTATATGAAAATAGTTTCTTGTTATATGTAATTTATTGAAAATGTAGTAAAGTCCTGGTTTGTTACTTAAACATGTCAAAAAACATTTGTAGCTTTAGATATTCAGTATACATATTGCTGAATGATGGTAATGTTGCAACTGTGATGGACTGGATATATGTTGTTCAGAGAACAAGAGCTGCATGCCATAAAGCTCATCTGCGTTTTCTAACTTCAAATGAAAAATAAATACTTTATATTTAATATAAAAGATATATAATAAAATGTGTTATCTCTGCCTACACACCTCACCTTCTTTATTCTGAAGAAATAGGAAAACTGCAATCCTAAAAGGCAAGATGTTACTTCCTGACCTTTGATACTAAGACAATTACAATTTTGGTATTTTGTAGAGATAATGGCTGCATTTTGATTAGTTATTTTTAGGTGAAGTGTAATCTGTTGAAGAGACACCTTTAAAAGTGCAGTCATTTTACTATTTACTATAGTGAAATATATATGAATCTGTTTCCTGTTTAATCCAGTGCTTCTTTACAAGATCTTGAGACCTTTTAAGGGTATCTGTATGTAGAAAGATATAAGACCAATTTTTTAAAATTACTTAGATTTTTTTTATTTTTAAGAAGGTATGCACTTTTTTGTCTTACTGTAGGAATCTGATGGCCAAGGCTGTCCTTTCTGCCGCTGTGAAATCAAAGGAACTGAACCAATCATTGTGGATCCGTTTGATCCAAGGGATGAAAACTCCAGGTGCTGCAGTATTATTGATAGCTTTAGCATGCCCATGTTGGACTTGGATGATGATGATGATAGAGAAGAGTCTTTAATGATGAATCGTTTGGCTTCAGTACGAAAGGTAAATTTTTAAATACTGTACAGCAGATAAAGCTATATGCCTGTAGATGAAGCTGCCTGTAACTTTAAACAATGAGATGTTACACTTTATGCTTTAGGTCTCAGCAACTCACTGAACAGTTCTTGGGTTTAAAAAGCAAACTGCATCAATATTGCAGCAATAATATTTAAGTTGAATACGAGAAAAAAAAAAAAAGGCAATTCCAGATTCTTGGCTGGTATGAACAGAATTAACTGTTTACAATGGAGCAAGCATGAGTTTGCACCAGCTGAGACTCCTTTTGAAAATATGCTGTATGGACAATTCCCTTAACTTTTATTTGTAAAGAGCAAAAAATGTCGTATGTGTAAAAACCGAATAATACATTCTGTACATGTGTGTATACACATGGACAGAATGGTTTAGGATTAAACTTGAGTTTCTAAATAGGCTATAAATACTACTGCTTTGTAGAGGTGAATTGGAACCCAATTTATATTGCACACAAGTAGCTTTTAATCATGTTTTCATGTGAGTTGTCTATGATTTTTTTCCTGTATTTTTAGTATTAGGTACTTTTAGCAGGAAAAGTGTGTTGGAGGTTATTCATAGTGACTTTGTGGTTTGGGGTGTTTTTTGTTCTGAAAGTGCTCTATGTTAAATTCTGGGATCTGGTCACAGGAGATTTTAGCACTGATAAATAAGCATTATCAGTAACAAAAGTTTATTTTATGTTGATAGGTTTCATTATTGTATATAATAGATATTGTCATAGGCCATGCAGCACTGAATTTTACAGTGCATTTTTTATATTTTTACATTTTACGCAGGTCGTCTCGATTGAGTAGTTGTCTTGGAAGTATTTCTTTAACATCTTACTCTTCCATTTCCTTATTGTTGTATTTGTTTAAAAAAAAAAAGTGTTTCACCCTCCTATCTGAGAGTATCTGTCAGTTAATATGCATACTTCTGATATCCTTCCTAACCTCTTAAGTCATATGAATCATTCTTGTGTATGTAATATAGCATGGCCTACTCTTGGGAACAGTTTATCCTTCCTGCTTGGACTGAAATTGCAGTCTGCAGCCTGACCTCTGAGAGATAGCATTGAATTGATGGGCTTTTATAACACTATCACTTCCATGATAAGGCAAAAATGCATTATGCTTTTATCTAAAGAAGGAACACTAGGCTTTACTATAAGAAGTCTTGTTTTCAGTATCCACCGAGTGCTTGAGTGCTTTGGTGCTTGCTGTTTTTGTCATGAATTTCATTACTCTGTGAAAGAAATCTACTAATTACCCCTGAAGTTTAGGAACAGTGTTTTTCACTCTTTGTTAGCCTCTTGAGGTTCTTACTTGAAAGTGCTGAATTATCAGACCATTTGGTGATTTTCATCTGCTGTTTTCTTCTTAAAACTGTTACCAGTGGTTGTACAGTGATGCTCTTAACCACGCTACCTGTGTGGAATATGGCATTATTTATATACACTTTTTGGTAGTAATGCTTTCATCAGGCTTGTCTATTTCTTTTAGTCATTATTTATTTTTCCTGCTAAACAGTGTTTCTCCAGAGCCTGATAGAAAAAAAATTTTTTTTTTCCTCTATGACATTATGTAGGATTGTACTCTTCTTGGATTTTTCTTTTGTTTCTTGTTAATGCTGTTAATATGTACATGGTACGGCATAATGGCTGTGTTGTAGTCATTTGATTTGTTGAAACAATGGAAGTTAGATGAGGAAGACAATAATTTAGTTCTTGCAGCCAGCCTGCTGATCCTGTTGTTACTTTGTAATCTTAGTGAACAAATTTTTAAATTCTTACTTTATTGCAAGGATTGTCATATGCTTTCTCCACATAAGGCTGTTAAATCTTGAAAATCAAATGGGCTGATTTTGTCTCAAATCACCTGTCTAGCCCCTGTGGTAGTACTGAGAAAATATTCTCGTGGCATATCTGGCTAGTAATGGGCTGGGATGTTAAACTTGCTAGAAGAGGAAAGTTCCAGGCTCATGAAGTCCTGATGAAAGTGACTGTAGAGCTTCACTATGTGTTGGGGAAATACTCAAATCAGTCCTTATTGTCCTGAAAGCCTTGTGGGAGGGGCACTGCTAAAATGTTTCTAAGCTGTTGCTATCTGTTTTCTTTATCTTTGGGACTTGTAGTTGGAAATATACTCATAATGCAAAATAGTTGCAGTAAGCTCATTTTAGAAGCACACACAGTCAGGTTCATCACTGATTAAAGGGCCTGATTGGGTTTTTAAGTGAATTGACAAAATGAAAAGCTGAAAAACACTTTTTGGAATTGTTATTAAAGTGTAAAGAAGATACATATTTTTTTTTAATCACCTGCTGTACCTGTATGAACTATGAATGTAAGTTGGATATCAGAAGAATAACAATTCTGCAGTTTATCACTCTTTCTCTGAAGTATACTCAAACTTTTAAGAGGTATCTCAATTAAGTCCCTGAGGGATCTCAGACTTGAAATTGCTTTAAGGAAAAGAATAATCACAAAGCTACTTACTCATTCTTCAATGGAATGAGTAAATGGATACACTTTAAGAAAAATTAATCCTTCTTGCTAGGTGTTGTGTATGAGTCAGCTGCAGCAGATCAGCTGTAACAGAGGCTTTAGAGAAATCCACTACAATTAGTCAGTTTATCTGCCTCATCAAGCAGCTTATTTTTTTTAATTTCTAAATTGTCTTCAGATATTTCTTTCTGAAAGAAAGATTAAGAATGGTGCCAAAACCTCTGTTAATTGTCTCATTGCTGAGAAATTTCCAGCCCCATGGTATGAGATTAGCTAATGCAGTTATTGCCTGAAGTGTTCTTTTTCTCAGCTCTATATGGTTTGTGCTAGCCAAACACAACATTATGAAATGCACATTAAAAAAACTGCACAGATTACAGGCTCAGGTAAATACTAAAAATGTTTTTTTTTTTTTTCCATTTTTAAAGAGGGCATTTGAGTCTCCAGTAGACTATGTTTATTATTCCATAATATTTAATATTCCATTGTCCCAATGAATTATCTGTCACTTTACCTTGTACAAGATGTAACTTGATACACTTCACTGAAAAAGAAAGGAAAATGTATAGTGCATTTCTTGCTAAGAGCAAATAATTTTGAATTAATGAGTGCTAAGATAATTGTTTGATCCAAATAATATTACATGAAAACGTAGAGGAAGGCTCTAGCAGTATAGGAGACTGTGAGATTTTAGTTCTCTAAAATTTACATTCTCTAAAAACGCTTTCTTCTATAACTAGATGAAGTTAAGTTGTCCGGAGAGTTACTGTCTTATCTGGAATTAATTTCCTAGCTGTCTGCACCAAAACCTGACTTTGATTCACACTGTTACTTTAACATAGTTATAGGAAATTGCAAAGCTGAAAGCCACTGTTTGTCATGATTAGGCTTCTTCCAGCAGATGAGTTACGTCAAACTTAAACCAGGACAAAAGACCTTGGTTCTCAAAATACGGGAGGAGATTGTGGGTTTGACTCCTCCCCCTCTTTTCCATATTATTAAGTTGACTTCTTTCTGGTAACAAAAAAAGGCATGTATTATGTGGTAATAATGTGTTTAATTTCATCATATAAAATACAGGAATATGTAAAAAAAGACTTCAAACACATACTCAAGTATTCCTTTCAGCTGCACATTAACTCATGCATTTATGTCACTTCCTTCTTAACGGCACACCTGGCTTGTGGGAGCGTATTTAAAAGCATGTCACATAACAAGAGTCCTTAACTACTTAGTTAGTAATATTTGAAAGAGGTGTACATTCTCGGAGGCAGTGTGCCTGCCTACTTAAAATGTATTTTACTGATTCACTTCGGCAGTGTGGTGCTGACTCTCACAGCCTTGACTCCTCCCTGCCTCACATGCGTTTTCTTGGGTCTGCAAAGGAAGGATCAAATAAAGAACAAACCTGTCTCTGTAAAAAATGTTTATAGCCATCACTGTTAAGTGATGTAAGTTTATATCTTCATACATATTTTTAAATCCAGATTATACTAATCTGTCTAGGTCACAATTTATCCTAACAAAAAATAGCAAATATGTGAGTTACTCTTATCTGATTATATATAAGCTTCAGGGAACTACTTGGAAATGAAAAGTCCACTTCTGGTGTAGGTCTGCTTAGACCTGCTTAGATGTCTCATTATTTAATTTATAAATTACTGACTTTGCTCCAACAGGACATTAACAATCAGGATAATATTCCTCAGTGAGTCACTTGTTAGGATCTGTGTTCAGTATGCTTTTCAAACACCTATCTGGCAGAAAGGTGTTTGAAGCTAAAACTCTTGATTCAATAGCCAGACTGTTAATATTTCCATCAGAAAAACCTTCACTAGAAATTGTAATCAATATCGGAAACAGGCTTATTCTTGAACTCACAACCACTAGGGGCAAACTGATACCAGTATATCCCAGTAATGAATACATCTGATTAAATAACACAAGCGTGGTCTGCTCTGCAGTACACTTGCAAAGTCAGTCACAGCTGCTTTTCCCTTGGCAGCAGTCATGCCAACCAGATGAAGTCCATGTTGTTACAAAGGAGTCTGTGTTCTTTTCCTTAATTACATCTTTATTGCACAGGTCGGTCTGTGTTGCAGCAGAGCCCCTTTGTACGCTGAAGGTCTGGCTTCTGTCACTGCCAGTTCATTTGTATTAGTTTGTGTCTTAATTGCTTCCTTGTTCTATCTTTTTGTCACTGTGCTGCTCTCATTGCTCCTTTATTTCCAGTGAACAGAAAATACACAGAAACCTCCAGTAGGTGACAAACAAAAATTTTCAATTTCTTCGTCCTTAGGGAGTCTGCCAAAACCAGCAGGTATTATGTACATCTCTTAATGCCCAGATATCTACATGATATGCAACCATCTTGTTGTCCTAGCTGTCAACAAACATCGAATGATGCAGCTAGAGAGGTTGGATGGGGGTGAACAAGATAAAATGGAGTTTTTTATAATGGGAATATGATGGAAATATGTTATTAAATGCTGAAGAAAACCTGCTTGTTGCTGTAGAATATTTTGTTTTGCTTTATTTTTAGTATCAGTAGATCTAAACTATCATAATTTTTATTTTCTTCTAGCCAAGCATTCTCTCTGACTTCTGCACCAAGCAGTGATACGGATTAAGCTTCCTTGTAGGGGAGAGAAACTGCTTTTGCTTGCATCTATTTTCACTTTTTCTCCCCTTACACACTCCCACACCTCCACACACCCCCCGCCCCATGCTTTATAAATTATTCTTTAACCCGTTGGTCATAATCACTTCTCTTTCTGAAATCTGTGGGGCCACAGCATGTTGTGTTAGCCTTGTGCCTGTAGGCAGCAGTAGTTCAGGGGACTGAAAAATTATCTTGTTATTTTGAAAGGAGACATTGATGTAAGCTTAAATTGAAGTTCTTTTACACACTTGGTACCTTACTACTTTGAAAAATTTCCATTTCATTTTGGCTGTTGTGATTTACCATCCATGGAATATGGTGGGTAGAGATAGCTAAATACCAAATACATATGGAACCAGAAGTTTATCACATAAATTAAATCTCTTGTTTCAGCGGGGTTAAAAACACGTCAGGTTTTAAGAATCTTGAACTTGTAAATGAATTTTCATATTATTCTAGTTTTTGTTACTGCCTACCACATATTAGGTGTGTCTTTCAGCCACTTTCAGTTTCTATAAATCTGAAAACAGTTACCAGTCCCCACTGGGTTTTAAATGCGAATATTTCCATGATTTCTGTCTCTGCTGGAGCTGGACTGTTGTTATAGCAGGAGAAATCTGACATGGTTGGGGCCGGTGGGCTCAGTGAGGGATGAGCGTATCGTTTCACCTAGTGATTCTTTAGAGCAGAACTGTGTAGAAGGCTGCCATATAGCAACAGTGATGGATATTCTTAAAATGCTATCTCTACAGTGTTGTTCGCTTAGCAGTGGGTTCATACAACTACATGCAGTGTGACGGTTGAGACTAACAGGTTGCTCACTGAGGAGGTAGCATTAATTACTGTGATAGTACAGCAATTAGAACATCTTAAATTCCAAACAAATGTTTCCTGTCCACTACTCTGTTTTTAGTGTTTCATATTTTTCTTATTATTTGTTTCAAACTCCTTTTACATATAGGATTGGTTCTTAGTTCTGGAACAGTTCCCTGCTGACTGACACACAGTATGTTGTGCAACACTAAAAATGTAGAGACTTAATGCAACACCTCTGTTTATTTTAAATAATTGTATCTTTCTGGGCATGTGACCTGCTTATTTGGTTCTATGTCAAATAATTTGGGAAATAAATTCATTTTATGTCTGCTGAAGCCAAAGCATTGAATATGTTATATTACATGGCCCTTGGCTTTCAGGAATGCCTGGTTGGAGGTATGACTAAACTTTGAAAACTAATGATATTAAATGATACCATGCTTATTACAGTATTTAACTGATAGATGCTTTCTGTTGAGGAAAATGAATTGACATTCAGTTTATAGTCATAATTATGGTTGCTCAGGCATGCTTGCAAGATACGTATCTAGCTTAGTTATTCAGCTTTTCATAATGTTCAGAAAGGCTGAGCACTTTAGTCAGTCATGTGTTTATCCTCATGGTCTTTCAGTCAAGGTCAGGGGCATTCACCAATTAAAGGAAACAAAGAAAATTTAAGGACTGCATTCAAACCATTTAATATGAACATTGTGACCACTTCTTCACTGAAAAGAGAAACTGGGAAATTTCTGGTAGCCATGAAGAGCACAAATCTTTAATTGCTTGATCTATCAGAGTTGAATATGTAGTTGTGACACTGAGCTTACACATGTAGATGAAGCAGTAAGACCCTAAGTATCAACAAAAAAGTTATTCTGGCAGTGGAATTGCACCTCACCCTCCACACATCCTCATTCCTCTTATTTTCTTGCAGTGTTATCCAGTAATACTGTGGTGGCTTCTATTTTTGAAGTAAATCTCATAGCAATCCCAATTGTTTAGAACAAAATATTAAACTAAGATGTACTTAACTACATGTACTTAATTACTGTGTACTTAACTAAGTAGACAGAGCACTGAGTAAGGAGTCAGTATACCAGATCCTTTTCCTGGATCTGCTTTGGAATTTATGAAGTTTTCACATTCTTTAATATAGACACTATATATGTAAAGAAAGGTAATGTTGTTTAGTTGTTTACCTTGTTAAAGAACTTCCTAGTCTCATCTCTGTCATCCCTATGGGACATAACGCATTGGTGATTAGAAGCTTACGAAAAGATGGGGAAAGTTTTGATCACAGTGATTTAGCTTAAAGGTGGGTGCATTTTTGTGCTTGCCTGAAGATGGCAGATTGCTAGCCTCTAAGCAAGTTATGCAAGTTACCATAATTTGTCACTAGGGGGCCTCTTAAATGTATGTATGTGTGTGTGTGATTCAAAATTTTCTAAAATTATAAACTGAATTGTCCTGAAATTATTTTTGTAAATCATCAAACAAATGAGGAAATAATTAACTACTTTCCCTACTGGACTGCTGATGATTTTGATTCGTAAGTTTTCAGAAGACACATACGTTATATTTTCTATGGAAGTAGCATTTGAAAAAGGTCTGTAGCTAATAGACAATATCACAGAAGTCCATCTTTTAAAAGTAATTTATAGAACTTTAGATGGAGTACTCTATTAATAAAAAGGTTATCCAGAGGAGCAGTACTACAGTAGAATCTTTGTCTGTTTGTGATTGTTTCCTTTTGTATGACAATGATTGTTTTTTAAACAAATCACTGGAATATATATTCTTTTATTTTAATCACAAGTTAACATGGATCTTAGTTTTGAGGTAGAATGACTTGTAGACTTTTTCAGTAGCTGTAAGATGAGCACCCATACTGTATATTAATTAAAAGAGCAGCGGAGTGTCCATTATGATAAATGACTATTAGTCAGTACTTGACAACTATCAAATATTTTAGTCATGGAATAGAAGTTATATACTTGATCATCAGGTAAACGGTAATTTTCTTTGTCCTGTCTTCAAGTGCAATGAGAGGCAGAATTCACCAGTGACTTCCCCAGGATCTTCCCCTCTTGCACAAAGAAGAAAACCACTTCCAGACCCCCTGCAAATCCCGCATCTTAGTCTTCCACCTGTACCTCCTCGTCTGGATCTTATTCAGAAGGGAGTAGCACGGTCACCGTGTGCCAGCCCAACTGGATCACCAAAGGTAAGTCTTATTGAACCAGTATTTCTTTCTGTATGAATACTGAGAAGTTGTATTTGATTGTTTTCAAGGTGAGCTTGCTTATTTGTTCTGGAAGATTGACTATTCTGAAATTTTACATGTGTATTTTCTTTTTCAGGAGTTTGCTCTGTCCAAAAGAACTTTAATTCCTTGTAGCTTAGAAAAAATTTAGATTAGATCCACACGGATTAAGTCTCTTATATCCTTCAGTTGACTTTGACAAGTGCCTGTCCCTTTGCATAATATCTCACATACACATAGCCAGATGTTTACAGCTCTATATGTTGGTCAAATATGACCTCTGTTTGTCTGATGATAATATTGTACTTGGTTATCGAATTTTGAAGACATTGCTCTAATGTATTGTTTCTGTAATAAGCCCCAATTCGTGAAAATAAAAATAAAAGTTTCCTGAAAATAGATTTAAAGGTCATTATGTTATTAAAATTATACGTTGTACTCTGATGATGATTTATGCTCAATTTCTACAGTACCCTTACAAGAAAAATACGTGCATATACACTGCTTTCAGAACTTTAAATGGCATATATTAGGACTCAAGTTTCAAGGGAAATAATAATGGCTCTGTAGCTAATGAATTGCATGCTGTGTTTTGTGAAAATAATGATACTAAAGAATTAATGATCTTTTGTGTGGATAAGCATGAAGGAGGACAAATAGTATATTTGTTGGTGTCTATTAGGAGTTGATAATTTTGTTGTAATTGCTGGACAGAGTGGGGGAATTAGATTAAATTTTTTTATTCTTAGATGATGAATTCAAATTCAAGTTCAAAGCATGACTTGAAACCTGTGTGCTCATAATAATTCAGTATGAAGTACCCTATTTATTTTGTCAGGTTTTTACTTCAAGCTTGAAGATCAACCTCTTTTTAATATTCTAGCAGTTTATAGTTTAGAGGGAAAAATATAAGCTTGAATAGTTTCTTTAATCTTCTTTTATCACATCTTATATTATACAAGGGAATTTGTAACACACTGAGGATATATGCTAAACATACGGCACAGCCATTAAGATTAATTTTACAATAGCATATTTTTACAAAGCTCACATCTTTTAAAAACCAGGAAATCAGAAATACCATTAATACTGATTTAAATTTTTCAGTGATACTATTTTCAAAAATTTGGGGGGTGCAAGGGAAGTATGCGAGCAGCAAAGAATAATTTCATACAAAACCAAACAAACAAACAAACAAAAAAACAAACCAAACTGCAATTAAGTCCCACAAAGACTACTACTTCTTTCAGAAAACTCTTCTCTTTTTCTGCAATGAAAAACTATAACTGTGACTATAAGCTACAACAAAATCTGGACCCAGCCATTATGTTTCTGCCTTGACAGTGAGAATCACTATTTTTCTTAACTAGCAGCTGAATTCAACACTTCTTTATTTAAAATACTGTGCTATTTGCATGAATAGACCTGCAGGTAGAATAATTTTATTTTCAGTTTAAGTAATGTGTTGAGATGCTGCTCAAAGAATAATGACGGGAAAATGTGTGAAGTGAGAGCAAATACTGCTCTTACTTTAAAACTCTTGTGACCTCCATCTCTTCAAGTGGTAATAATCTTCAGGCTTACCAGAGTCCATGAAAATTACACCTTCAAAGGGAAATAATCTTCCCTGTATTTCTTATGGTATCTGGTGGTAGGAGAAAAAGATTTCTTAAAGGCCTGATCTGAGTATTATTTTGTAAAATGCTGTTAGTAATTCACTCCTAATTAAAATGTTTTGGATTTGACAGATTTGTGCTCTTAGAAGCTATATGGCTACCTGTATGAGGTTTTTTTTCTGATAACTTGGTTTTCAGCTTTTTAGTATTAGTATACATAATTTTAGAAAATATTTCACCATTTATGGTATAGTTCAATTCTGAAAAAGGAAGTCCTCTGGCAAAAGTTGTCTGCAGATGAGCTAATTGCAAACATAACTACTTACTAAGTATGTTACCTGGAAAACTGAACTGCAGGTCAAACAAATTGGTCAGTGCATGTCATATAAAGATTGGAATCATCCCTAGGTATATGATTAAAAACAAAGTAGTTATTTTCTTCTTCCACTTGCTCCCTAATAATACGTTTTTTGTGCCCATTCACTGTCAATAAGTCATTTCCCTTTTGGATGTGGATTTTATTTTGCTTGGGGTATTTTCTGCTTCAGGAAGTCTTTTTTTTCCAGACATTCCTCAGAATTCATTTCAGTAGCTAAATAAGTGATTCAAAGGATGAAAGCAAAAAAAATATGGGTCAGATAAATCTGCCTCAGTCAGTTGCTTTTCTCCTTTTCACTCCTTCCCCGGGTTACTCATGCAACAGCGGGGGGGGGGGGGGATGGACACATGCTTTCTGAAGAAAGGCCAGATTGTCTGCAGAATGTGAAGACAAGACTAACCTACTGGCAGGTATTCTTGTGATGCCTTGAAAATATCTCAGTTAGAAATGGTAAAGCTATACTTGACCACGAGAGAAAAATGCATGCCTATATGTAACTTTTTTTTTAACTTACTGTGTTGTTTAGTCTTCTCCTTGTATGGTAAGGAAACAAGACAAACCTTTGCCAGCACCACCACCTCCCTTGCGTGATCCTCCACCACCCCCACCAGAGAGACCCCCTCCGATTCCACCAGACAACAGGATCAGCAGACACCTGCATCATGCGGAAAGCGTGCCTTCCAGAGACCAGCCCATGCCCCTCGAAGGCTGGTGTCCCAGGGATGTGTTTGGGACAAGTCAGTTGGTAGGGTGTCGAATAGGGAGTGATGCTTCTCCCAAACCAGGACTGACTGCAATTTCAAACATAAATGGAAGGCACAACCGCATAGGTTCTGATCCAGGATTTGGGAGGAAACACAGACGTCACGAGCTGCCTGCGGAAGGTGCCAAGGTATGAAATGAGCTGAATGTGTCGAATCCTAATTTGATACCCTACTGCAGCATTGTTTTGGATTGGCTAATGTACTGCTTATATTGGTCACTCTTGATTTGCTGTTTCCAAATCTTTCCTGTTGATACTTAATAATAGCTGGTCATAAATAAAACAGCAGTAAAACATTATCTTCAAGAGAGCATTAAATTAGTCATGATGTTCAGTATATTCTAAGGGAAAAGATCTAACCTGCCTTGACCCTAAGAAAGAGGAATCAAATAAATCCAAAGCCAAGCTAAATGTAGAATAATTTATTCTGTCTTTACCACTGGCTATATGGGCAGCATCCTTGGAAGCACCTAGTGGCACAACCCCAGTATTGCGTTCTTAGATTTAGTATTAACATCAGTACTCTAAACCTTATTCAGGATAATTGGCATTGCAACTCCCTTTTTTTCTTTGTCAACTGTTTACAGGAGTACACATATCTTCATCTGAATTTTTCCTCCTTTGTACTTAAATTAGGACTCCAGCTGCTGGAGTTGCACACTGTTGTAATTTGTCCATAGCAGCTTTTGAATTATCTTGGACAAATGTCCAGTGTAATGTCCAGTTATCCATTTTCAGTGCTGAGGGCATTCACAGTTGTCACATGCAACCTTTCCACTGATTGTCTAGCTTGGTTTGGCTAGGGCGCATCTGCTTGTCACCCCCAGAAGTATGTTTTCTCATCCTTGGTTGTAGTGACCAGTATGTATGTCTGTAATGACAGTGTTTCTTCTATCAAAAAGAAATGAAGGATTGTTTCTATGTTAATTGAACATACCTGGGGAGGAGAGTGTCAAGGGAGTAGTTCTGGCATTAGGCAGCTTCAGACAACTTGCAAGACAGTGGACAGTTGGGGAGGCATAGGTTTGAAAAGAAATAAAGTGGTGATGGCCTAAGACAAAATTTCAAGTTCTGCTCTAATCAGTTTTATCAAAGCAGCTCAGTAATTTATTCATAGAGCAGGTGATGAACTCAGAGCTGCTCTTCATTTTTTTTGCTTGAAGACTACTGAGCTTGTGCTGAGGAGGATTGATTAGCGGTTAAGTCAAGGTAGTTAGAAATCATAACTTTTTCTATTTGCTTTTCTCAAAGTCACAAGCTATTTAACCTTTCTATCTCCATTTTTTTTTTTTTTTATATGGATGTTTTGGTTATTTTGAAAGTATATTACTGAAATTCAATTAACATTGGTAAAGAGCACTGACATATGTGATGAAAGGTGCTTAAGAAGTCCATGATGTTGCGTGTAATTAGACTGGTTTTCTATCAGCATTGAGGCAAAACACCAAAATTTTACTTAAAGCTAGGCTGTTGTTTAAAATGCTATAGCTTTTCATCCGATTTTGGAAGGATATTGCTTTTATATCTTCAATTATGTCTTCAATCTTCAATATAGTATTCCGTTTGTGGTCTGACACAGTATTGAAGCTGGTGGAACAAATACTTCTCAAATCAAAATAACCAGTGTAGAAGTGCTATTGTAGTCTGGAGAAGTTACATATGTATTTCTTTAACCAGATTTTGCTTGAACTGTCATCTTCAGGTTATAGATCTTAAGCCATTTGGTCAAATGGAGCAACTGACAATTCTGAACTATCATTTCAGGCTTTATGCACGTTCACAAGAGAAACTAATGCATTTTCATCCCTGATTCATATTTCAATTGTAATGTAATCTTTTTTGGTATTGGTAAAAGCCAAGAATCAGGAAGGACAATCCTATGGGTAGCGGGTGGATTCTGGCAGGCACTGTATCACAGCATTTTAAAAAATCACTTATACATTTAACATCCTGTACCCGTTGTTTTCTCACTGTACTTCATCTTTCTCACTTCGACTGGTTTGCAAGCTTGAAATCTTAATTTTCCCCCAAGCAGTTCAGCTGTAACTGAGTCGTCCATCTAGTAACTGTGATGTGGAACTTCCTCTTTTGGTGAAGTTTTAAGCTAATGAGTTCTACAGCTCCCAAATGGGGTGAGCTGAAACAGGCATGAAAGAATCACTTCAGGTAACAGCTCTGTAGTGTGAACTCCCAGGAAAGCCTTTACCCATAGTCTCTCAAGGTCTATTTTGTAATATCTAGTTGATAAACATCTGTGGTGCTAAACAGGAGGAGATACCCATTGTAACACTTGTGTGATTTTTAGGTCTTTTCAAATGGTCATTTGATAAATGAAGAATATGATGTCCCTCCACGGCTTTCACCACCTCTTCCAGCTGCCTCCATCATCCCTAGTATAAAGTAAGTTAACTTTATCTGCAAATGAAATGCATTAATTGCTGTTAGATAATTGCACTGATTCTTTGGTGCTAAAAAAAAAAAATGGGAAAAAGAAAGAAATAAAACAAACTAATATAACTAGGTGATACATTTTCCACGAACTTTAATGTGGTTTTACAAAGGAAACGTAAATTGTATTGATTAAGTGGGAGCAGTTCTAACGTTAATTGAACATACTACATTTTTATGGGAAGAGAGAATACATTGTGGCAGATCTTGCTCACAGGCATTTTGCAGTGGGAGCAGATACTCTCTGGTTTTGCTTCTACTACTACAGAAGTGTGGTCAGACCTATTTACCGCAAGAGATGAGGCATTCTAGGGGAAGTGCTAAGGGTAAAGAGCATGATTTGTGTGTGTTCTGACCCTAATCTAATCATGCTTTCTGGGCTTTCTGCATGTGGAGCTTTATCCAGGGTTCACACCTGTATCTTTTCCTTGTGGCCAAAAAACAAGCAAACAAAACCATTTTATATCATTTTAAATGGAGTCAGCCTCCCTGAGTTCTAGGATATGGTTTGGGAAATTTTGTAATTGCAAGTTGCAGGCTACTCTTAGTCTTCATGACTGTTTATTTGGTGCCAAGATGTTGCTGTGCATAGAAAGTATCTTTGGACTCTGAGTCACACAGGACTTTCTTACAGAACAAGATATTTAAAATAGAAGGCTTGGAAGTGCTATAATGTAGTTTGTAGAGTTTTTGTGATTTTGTAAGGAAATCAGAGCATATTTCAATGTTTTGATGTTATCCTGCAGCTTCTTTCCAATGTACGACTTGTGATTCTTGCTGTTAAATAAAATAATTGGGCAGTCAGTACACACTAATACTGAGAATTTTCTCATTAGTATGTATTTTTGCCATATCTTCAGCACCCATCCCATGGTTGTTCAATCAGCAGTAACAAAAAAGACAAATGTATTTCATCATTTCATTAATATGCTGTTTTTTCTCTTCCTGAGCACTAGAATAAAGGTGCAGTGGAGAACTGACTTTTTCATTCAGAAACAAGTTTCCAGGTGGAACAGTTGCTGAGTTGAAGTTCTCCATGTTTACTTTCAGTTCAGAAGCAAATTTTAGAACATTATCCAGACATTTCTGTATTTGAATGTTGTGATGTAACCTGATTGAGATAGGGTGGGTATCACAGGAGTACCGCTTGGATGCCTCATGTAATCAATCCCCTTGTAGACTGATCTCCTTGGACTGACAACACCTTCCATGATATAACGCAGACCGTGGGGATGTTCCCTACTCAGTCAGAAACAAGCTAAATACTTTCATATTCCAAAGCAAATTCAACCCTGAAAGGGGGAAGATTCTTATTTTTACTTTTCATAGTGTTGAAAAAGCAAAACATTCTGCTTCATGCAAGTCCGATTTTTTTTTTACTCAGCTTTTTGCAAATGTAGCTTAGAATCAAAGTACAATGTATACATACACCATACAGTGTTTATTGGAAAGTCCACAGGATATTGCAGCAATATGGACAGGCACGAAATCATTGTCAAACATATCCAAGACTAGAATGTGTGACTTTAGTTTGGTCAGAAGAAGTATCTTGATTAACTGAAGTCTTCGGAATAGAAAGTTGACGTATTTCAGCCAAAAGAAAATCTTCATTTTCTAAAATCAAACTCCATAGACTTTTGAAGAAGAAATTTCCTTTCTGGTTTGGTTTTGTACTTACACTTTTTAAAACATATACAGCACATTTTAAATTCTGATTTTCAAAATGTAAAAAGTGTCAATATATAACCTAGGAGTAAGAAGTTCAAAATATCTAATTAATAACTACTAAAATGTTATATAGAATGGCTGTTAAAATTAAAAATTGATCACTGTACGTTCTTTCTTGAAACACTAATATGTCTATTTTAAATTGATTTCAAATAAAGTTTTTGTTGCCACTAAGAATTACCCCAATAATCTATAATAGTGTGTCAGGGTAAAAAAAAATCTTCAAAAATAACACATTTAATAAGTTTAATATTTCCATCAACTAGAAAAATTGCTTTCCAAAAAGTAACCTGAATAGTATTTAGCATGATTTAATTTGAGATGTTAAAGAAAGTATTTTTACAGTGCACTTTTCCTCCTGTTACACTGACTGCACTAAGCCCTCATAAATACGTTGAACTGTACTTGATCTGAAATACTCTTGCTTTCCACAGCTGTGCTACTGCAGTCAATCTGGTGCAAGTTTCTCATTTTTTGTTACCTTACGTGTAGCAGACATATTAAGGATGCTTAGGCTAAAGAAGAGTATTGTATTTATTACACTGAGGTCAATTACATAACAGTTAAAGCAAAACTGATCTTTTTCTCATCCCTTTAGATGCCCTGTTCCTTCAGCAAATTCTCTGTCTGATAAATCAAGGGATCACACAGACGATGATGAATACAAAGTTCCTTCTTCACATCCTGTAATACTCAGCTCACAACCACCTCATGGTCATAACATAAAGCCTCTTGCTCGGTAAGCTCATTTAGCAGCCTTAAAGGCAACTTATTTACCAAAACTTTTTTTTCCAAAATTTAACTGGATTCAGCATCTATAATGATGGTTAAGGTTGCCTGCCTTCTAAAATGTCTTATCTTTTCAAGCTTGGATTACTTATGCCTCTCTTTCATTTGACCACTATCACAGTCATAACCGATAAAGTTCACTTCATTATATTGCTCTTGTGTCAGAACTGTTTTTTTTTTTTTTCTTTTGAATCCCTTTTCTGCAGTTGATCCTTTTTTCCCTTAGGTTGGGGTTTTCAGAACTGAACAGGAGATTCAACCCCAACAACGTGTGCAAAATTTAATTTTAAGAAGAGTTGTGTGACTGAAATTCCCAAACTCAACTTTGAAAAATCTTAAACTTTCACATTTTAGATAATTCATTTTAAGAAACAATGCACTACTGAAAAATATGTGAATTGGCAGCTTCATGTACATGCTTGTATTCTCTTTTTATCCCACGTGTACTGTATCTTTTTAGCTTTTTTGAGCTTCTTTCACAGCATATTTTCTTTGTGATTCTCAGGAAGAAAGCCTGTTTTTAATTTCAGATGAAGTATATCTCTTTTGCTTTCAACATGTTCTAAAATAGTATCTCCAAACTGTCACGGTTGTGAATTATTAATGGATTATGGCAAGGAGATTTGGAGGCAAGGGACATGGCAACTGAAGACTGTCATTCCTGGTGAACTTCTTGGACTTTGACACGTAAAAAAAAATCTGAACGTCTGGAATTAAGGGAATAAGCTTTGGGAAAAAGAAGGGCCAATTCTCTACTGGTCTTGTGGGTCAAAAGTATGATATTTAAATCAAGTATTGATCAAAAGTGTTCAGACTCTTCTGCAGTGACATATTGCCATTTTTTCCTCTCTGTCAGAATGTGATGTCAAGGACCCACCATCGATAAAACTTGACGTGTCTCATCCCCAGATTAGCCAATTACCATTTTTAGACCTCTTTAATCAGAATTTAAACAGGTGGAAAGAAGCTCATAGTCTGATCAGTCCTTGCATGCAGGTTTAAAATTCTGTCTTTATTAGAAATGCTGGTCCCAACTTTCACTGCATAGACGTGAATAATGCACAGTTGTCTGAGCTTTATGATCTTGAGTACATAAATACCTGTCTACCATATGAGACTTTTTAAAAAAAAAAAAAAATCAATCATTAGTAACACACTCAATGTTGGCCAAGTGAAAAAATGGGAAGGAAAAAATATAAACTCCAAGATCCTGATCCTTTTTTACCTCTGCCATTTTTTCATCCGAGTGTCTTGTTCGGCATGGGAATGTCTTTCTGTACCATGCAAAGTCTAACAGACGCTTAGTTGCTTGCGTGACTAGAGTTACATAGGGTGTAAACTTCCTTAGACAAGAAATCATCTGCAACAGAAGAGAGCAGTATGTGGACAGATTACCTTGGTTTAGCAGCTTCTGAGGGCTATGTCTAGGTTAGTAAGTAGTGTGGTGCAATGGGAGTGAGTCTGTAGAGGGCACCGATTGATTCCAAGGACCCCACATCCACACTATTATATTTTTGGGAAGTTTTGGATTCAGACTAGCCCTAACAGGGTTCTGTGTGACTGGAGTACCCTTTAGTAATTGCAGCAGATTGGATGAGCTCCTGCAGGACATCTTTTGAGTTAACATCATCCAGCAGCAACTGAGTCTGCAAGCTCTGAGACTTTTCTGCAGTGTAAACACAAGTGCTGTAAGTAGTCATGACTTCTGAAGATTTGTTTCCGTTCATATTCCTGACCTGAACTATGCTAATATCTAGATGTACTCTGAAAGATTCTTGAAAAAATAACCAGCTGGAAAACTAGAAACTTCTAATTTTCCAGTATCCTTCTTTTGCAGCAAAAAGTGTTGAGTGCTTTCAATTGGCTGGTACAGGTCACCAGGCCATTAGAATTATTAATAGAGGCCGTAGATGGAAAGCTGATTTCAAAGTTTTCTTTCTAGTTTTTAGTTTATTTTTTCACAAGCGTACTTGGTCTTGCACTTACAGTGGGGTTTTTTGGCATTAATCCAGGATTTGCTATAGAGGAAATATATCAGTTTGCCATTCGGGTTGCTCTATGAATAAAACCAAAAACTCTTCTTCTATATTCTGAGAAGAATTTTGACTCAAAACAAACCATTCTCCTAAGCATTAAAAAAAAAAAAATATCCTATTGAGTATTTGTGAATATATATGATGTTCCGTATACTTAAAATGTCTCCTTTTAGCTAATGTGACTGCTTAGATGTGAAAGCTGAGATAAGCTTTCAAAAAGGATCTTGATTCTGCTTGATAGTGTATTCTTTTAATGCACTTCTTTTAATCTCATGGGGAGGGGAGTGTCAATAAAATCTTAACTTTTCAGTACTGTTTAGAAAAACTGTTAACATAAATTTTTTTAAGTGTCATAAATTTTTAGCACCTTTCAGTTCTGTCCCTTATCATAGAGTGGTTTGGGTTGGAAGGGACCTTGAAGTTCATCTGGTTCCAACCCCCCTCGCCACGGGCAGGGACACCTTCCACCAGACCAATTTCCTCAAATCACCACCCAACCCGGCCTTGAACCCTCCCAGGGAGGGGGCAGCCACAGCTGCTCTGGGCAACCTGTGCTGGTGCCTCACCACCCTCACAGGGAAGAATTTCTTCCTTATAGCTAATCTAAATCTGCCCTATTTCAGTTTAGATCCATTACCCTTAGTCCTATCACTCCTACATTCACTATCTTTTCCTAATAAAGCTTTTTCCAAAAGGAAAAGGACAGAAGGCTTGCTTGTTAGTACTCATTTGCTGCCCTTCTTTCTGGTGTTTACCGTTGATGTAAACGGGTATTTCAGCATGATTTCCAAACTGATCACTTAACAGGGCTCATTATGACCTGAATACTTCTGAAGTGGTGCAGTGTTAAGTTATCTCGCTGGTTGTGGCTGGATAGATTATTGAAAATGCAGAATAGATTCAAATTAAAGTAGGAAATATTCTTAGTTATTTAGTGTATATGATGAGGAGTCAAAGGAAGTGTTGCATCCACTGCATTTGAGAGATGAACCAATCTAATTTCAAAGATAGTAGCAACACTTCCTCTACCACTTCCCTGGGGAAATTAATTCATAACAAAATAGCTCTTACCATTAGGTTTTTTTTGTTTTGGTTTTGTTTTTAAGTCTTGGAATTATTCTTACATTTATTTCATTACTCCTAGTTAGAACTCTTGGGACCACAAACACAATTTCACTTCCTCTTTCCTGTTTATATATTTTAAATGATTCCAGACCTTTATTCATTCTTCCTTTCCATATGGCCAAAGCTGATAGATTTATTAATGTTCATCCTATTGGTAAAAACCCAAGATCTGAAATTTTAGCTGTCTATAGCTCTAGCAGATTTGCCAGTATTTAGTAGTAATGATGCATGGTGGGTTGGGATTTTTATTTTAAGCTAGGATTGTTTAGCATGGTGGCCTTTTTCCAGAGAAACTATCTGGTTCTTCCTGAATATGCAGGGTCCACAGTTCTAATGACAGGAGTAATTTCCCAGTTCTTTCACATTTATTTATATAATACTTAATATAATGAAAAGGCTTCTGTTCTGTGTTTTTCCTTGCTATATTTGAACAGAGTCATTTTACAAAAATAATCTCCACTATTTTTCTGACAAGATAATATGCAACTTTGTACTGCTTGGTTTAGATGATTTTCATATTAAATTTGATACTGTTTTTAATTTTGACAGTGTAATATGCTTCCATTAAAAAAAAAAAAAAAAAAAAAAAAAAAAACCAAACCACACCAAAAAGCAGTAGACTCTGGTAGAAGTATCAGAAAGACACAGCTTTTTGATGCAGATGTGAATAGGTGCCTGCAAAACTGCTTTGGCTAGTTCTACTTTTTTTTTTTTTTTTTTTTTTTTACTGTTCAGCTAAGAGTTTAATTCAGATTTGTTGCTGTTAGTGGCGTGTTGTGGTGTTCTGTTTGGGTTTTTTTTTGTTGTTGTTGTTTTCCTTTATTTTGTTTAATGGCTTTTCTGTGTACTTCAGTGTAGCTAGTTACCAAAATTCTCATTTCCCTTTGTCATATTTCTGCTAAGGAAAATTCAGCAGCTGGGAAGGTGAAATAGGATTGAGTCTGTGACTTAACTGTATGAATAAACTAATGACCTGAACTCTGAAGTGAGGACTATATCTAATGTTCGTCCTTCCTTTAACTTGTATTGCAGCTTTGAGTAAGTTATTTAAGCCATGTCAGTATCCCACCAAGAAAGCAGTATAGTCCTTCAGAGTGGTTTTATTGATGGTTAACCAGCATCTGCTTTCATTATAAAAAAACTTAAATAACTTAAATTTTAAAATTGGTGCAGCTTACCATCTTTCATTCGTTTCCATATAATGAACTGCCAGCTCAGGTACTTGGTCATTCTGGGAATTAATACTTGGATAACTGGTTGATTGCTTCATGTTTAATGTCTGTCTTCAGGGCGTGTGAGAATGGTCAATGTGCTGGAGTAACGAATGGAACACACAGTACTACTTCTGAGATCAAGAAATCAAAACATCCAGAGTTAGGTATGTTTTTGTTTTTTCACTGTTCTGCAAGAAAATTTACTATGTGCTGTTCTAGGGGTACAACAAAACATTCACTTCTTGTGGTTGTGTCATTCAGGAGATGGCTGTGATATACCTGCTGTTCCAGTACCTTTGCCACCTGCACGACCTCCTACTAGAGACAACCCAAAACACAGCTCTTTGCTCAACAGGACGCCCTCGGATTATGATCTTCTGGTGCCCCCTTTAGGTTGCAGACGTTTTGCTGATTACGTTTAATGGTTAACATTGCCTAGATGAGTCAAATGCCATATTTATTGAAAGACAACCAATGTTGAGTATGTTAAGAGTACCAATCAAGCTATGGGCTAAATATTACAGATGTAAGTCAATATTTGTGTCAATGATCTGTACTTGGTATCTGTCTGTAAGCCCTCATGCAAGACAGATAAAGACATACTAAATCTGTATTCAAGCTATAGAGAAAAGCAAAACCATTTTCCCTAAAATAAATTGCAGGTTTTTTATCCCTTAATATTAAGTTTGAGCATTGCAATTTAATGCAAAAAGGAGGATTTTTCCTATTGTAGCTTAATTAATTCCATTTCTTTTGTCAAATACAAAGAAGAATGCCAAAGAGGTGGTATTTAAGTCAAGGAAAACTGAATTAAATAAGTTTATATTTCTGAGGGTTTTCCCCTGTCAATGGACAGTTCCAAACTCACTGTGGCCTACAGTCACCAAAAGCTTTCTTTTCCAACCCTGATTCCTGTTCTGTTCACCAACAAACTCTGCTGCATGATTGTGTCTGTGTATGTGTCATCATCCAGTTTTCTGGTTCCATAAGACCTTTTGAACATTTGCCATGTTCTTGCACTATTCCCTGTCTGGTCCCTGAAGTGTTCCTGATTTGGGAGAGTACATAGAATTGAAGGCTGTAGAACATAAAAATCACTGCATGGCAACTCTAGTCATGTCTGCACCACCTTTGTGGAAGGGGTACATTTCTTTTGCCAAGCTTTAGAAAATTCATTTTATATCTGGGGTCAGAGCTTTTGAACAGCAGGTAAAGATAATACACAGTATAAATGTAGCATATTCAATGCAGTCAGCATTGGTCTTTGAATGTAAATATATTTGCTTAGTCACTGAAACATAGCTGTTATTCTACAATGATATTCAGTGAAGCTTTCATTATAATACACCCTTTGCAATTGAGCCACTAAAAGAAATCTCTCCCCCATCCCCGAAAAGAAACTGAGCACTGCAAAAGGTCATTCAGAGCATATTATAGAAGAGGATTGTGCACAATAAGAGTCAGGTTTACAATTTCATTACTGGAGTCACTGAACTGCTAGATGAACGTTAGAAGTAAAGGCCTAAGCAGCCAGAGAAAAATAAATTTTAAGCTTCACTCTTTATTCTACAGTTCTTAATGAAGTTTTGCTCCTCTAATAATTCTTTTCTACCATGCAGGTGAAGATGTGTTTGATAACTCACCCCCTTCATTACCACCACCACCACCACCTGCTCGGCACAGCATGATTGAGCACACAAAACCTGCTGGGTCAGGAAGCCGACCTCCTTCAGGACATGAACTGTTCCTTCATTCAGGTAGGAATACAAAGGAAACAACGTATTTTATTTGATTTTCCTTTAGAAGTCTATCTGTTCTATGATAAAGTTGTCATGAGGCTTCAGAATTCTCTTCTGTCTATACTTCATTATACAAAATGCTAATAAATAAGGGTTTTTTTTAATGGTGGAGGCGAAACAGAATATAACGACTTAAATTTTCATTATCAGAAAGTAATGAAATAAGGTCAATATTTCTGTATCAGGCTAGATATTTTGGTAAATTTTACTTTTCTCATAAGAGCTGTTACTTGTGAAGTGCCAAGTTTTCTGTTGTAATCTGTGATACTAGTCTGTATACTTCCATCAACGCCGCTGTTTCCTATAGTAAAACATAGTTCGTGGGTTTATTTTCAAGCTGGGACTTGGGGAAAAACTAGAAAACAAGGGAGAAGAACATCCTGTTTTGTTAAAACTTATAAAATTTTGCTGCAAAACTATATTAATTGTGAACACAGTTGCAGGCACCTGTGGTTCACAACCTTTTTGCTAAGTCAAGTTTTCACCCATCTCTCCCCATGAATCACCATGACTCTTAGTCTGGTATTTTGCTTGTAAAAGGTATAAAAGCTATGTTCACAATTTACGATTTTTGTCTTTGAGTTGAAAAATGTTTGACTGTCAGGTTAATTAAGTTGAATACATTTGCTGCTGAGGATACAGATTACAACAGGTTTTTTGTGGGTTGTAGTGCATACCTGTGAAATGACTTTTTTTTCTCCGTGGAAGCTTACAAAGAATGTTGTTGTCCCACAAATATTGTTGGTGATAACCTTGCGTTGTGGTTAGATGTCTTCCTCCTCCTATTTGTTTTTCGTAGCTGTATGGAGAGGGAGAAATTGAAATGTGTTGGTGACACTATCACAGGAAGGCCAGAATGACAAGCTGTCATGTGCAACTCCATAATGGCCTGGTAGGCTGCCGGGCATTTGGCTGACCTCTGTGAATGATACTAGCTGTGGGATGACAGTAAGCTAGTTTAGGGTGAACTGGAGTGATCTTTTATGGAATGTTTTTATTTTGTATTTTTTGCCGCCAGTCAAGGCCTGACATAGCGTAATTTGCCAAAACTGTATATATTTTTATAATGCAGATTCAGCTCAGTGTGTTACTTTCTCATATATGCCTCTGAATGCATCCAAGTAATAAGACTTATACGTTACAGGATGTAAAGGTTGATCTTCATAAATACATGGCCAGGAATTAATTTATTTTCTACACTTCAAAATAAAAATAATGTAATCTTCAGTCCAGTCTCAATGGGTGCGTCAACTGTGTCATCTAATTCAGCAACACACGCTGCTCCATTCAGTTCTAATGGGAACGGAGAGGAAAAATAGAAGCTCCCCCGCACAGATGCACACAAGCTCCGTCAATCTGTGTGCAGTTCCCAGAAACATGCAGAGTTTTAAATTAAGTGTTATTTCCAAATAATCTAAGAAACATCACTGATAGTGTTGAAAAACACTTAATTGCTTTTAATGAGAAATCTGGAAAATGTATCTACGGCCATGTCGTGTTCTTCGTATTTGCATAGTGAATACAATCTTACAGCAGCAGTTTTCATTAATCTTAGAAGTGTATACATCTACTTAGGCATACAAGGTTGTGTGGATTGGTCTTTTTTTTTGTTCATATGGTATTTCTAAAGCCATATTACTCACTTTGCATCTTGTCAGAGAAACTGCTGTAGATGATTTATGATGAGTTTCCATACAAGTTTTGAGGGTCATTTCTCAGCTATCCATCAGAGCCTGTCAGATTAGAAGAATAATCTCATCAACAACAGCAAAATGTTGTAGTCATATATAAACACGCTTATGAGTCCAGAGCAGAAGCCAGGGCCAGGATGTTGTTAACACGTGCTCTGTTGCATCCTCAATAGCTGCCCTCCCTCCCCGCTCTACCCACCCTAAAAAAAAAAAAAAAGGGACACAACATGCCAGGACTATTATCTCTCTCATTTTAAAAATTCTGTACCTGTAGTCAACAGAGAACTGAAAAGCCTAGTCACAGCCTCTACCAGTCCCTGTAATATTTACCTGTAGCTAGGAATGTATGAATAGGCTGCCCTGCAGTCTTTGTGAACTGCAAAGCACAGAAGTGTTATGAAGAACTAGTCAAACTGAATAGCTGAGATATTTCGAACTGTGCTGTTTCAGGCTTAGCAACCTCTTCAGTGCTTTGCCAGCCACTATCCTGGCAGTGTCAGGGTTGAGCAATTAAAAGGTACCTCATGGATGTAAACAGAAGAGCCATGATTAGTGCAGGATAGACCATCTTTGACCTGTGCTCTTGTTTTTGTTACTTCAAGACATGTCTACTATGCAGGTGTTGAATTCGGATGCATACGTGCATATATACATGCTATAGGGGAACACCTTTGGATTCATGGCTCCTCTATCTGAAGGGAGGCTATTTTAAGCCTAGCTTCTATGTATCAGACCCTGCTTTCCCCAAATAATAATGCTAATTATTCTAAGACACCTTTTTTGTTTTGTTATTACAGATCCCCATTTTGATCCAATAACTGGTCATGTTCCTTTGCCACCTGCTCGTAGAGTAACTGGAGAAAATGTCAAAACAAATAGGACATCTCAAGACTATGATCAACTTCCTCCCTCTTCAGGTAAGGTAGAAAACGGTTCTTGTAGAAATTTACAACTTTATGAAGCAAATAACTTTTAGGCATAAAGTCCAATGAGGTTTTTGTCATTCTGGGCAACAAATAGTAATGGTAATACTGCTTTACCAAAGTTCTGCAATAAAGGTAGAAGTGGCTATGTGTTGTCTGTAGGTGTAGATATTATGGCATCAATTTCATTAGCTGCCAAACAATGCTTATGTGAGTTGTAGTGTTCCTTAGTTTCTGAGAAAGGCAGAGATATTTCTGCCACCTTTAAAGCTCACAAGAGATCAGAAGTCCTGCAGGGGCCACATGCTTCTCTTTTCCATCTTTGTTTCATTGCTTATGAAAAAAAAAACAAAAACAAAAAATCTCTCTTAAGTATTATTATTTTCTCGTCTTTTTGGCTAATATGTTTGAACTTCAAAGAAAATTTTAAAAATGTTTTTTAATAAAACAGCAGGAACCAAAACCAGTTAAAATTCAGTCTTCCATTTGTAACAGAACAGGTACAGTAGAAGGAATTCCTCTGCCATAGAAACTTTGAGTATGATTTTCAGGCAATTCTAATAGTATTGAAAGGAAAGCTACTCAAATTAATTAAAACAATAACAGTATTACGTTCATTTAATTTTTTGGGCAAGTTTTCTTTTCTTCAGAGCTGCATGGTATATGGGGAAGGGGGAGGATTGTCTCACCTGGATCGTTTTGTTGTGTGGAGAGACCACACAGAGTGAGCCAAGTGATGCTTCGAACCATTATTCATTCTACAGATGAGAGCTGTGCATGAAAACTCTTCTCTAATGCATAAAGAAAGGAAGGGACTTCAGTTCTCTAGTCTTTCAGTTTTAATTATCATCAGTGTTTAATTGCAACAATTACAAGTGGAAAAATGATAATTTTTTTTGTTAGTAATTATATCTTTCCTTCTCAGGAATATGTAGTTCCACTCTGCTGCGGTATAGCAAAGAAAGAATGTATTTTTCCAACTTAAAGTATGAGGGGAAATTAAGGAAGCCTGAAGAGTACTACAGAATTTCTAATGAATAGCACATCTGAGAATTGGTGTGATGCCTTTGGTAAATAGTAGCACTTTTGGGAGGAAACCTCTAGTAATATAGCAGTTTCTCATTTTTCCCCATTGTTAGGGAAAAAAAAGATATTCTAACATGCATGTTTTGTATGTGACACTGAGGAATCTATTTGTCTTATAATGTTAACCTGATCTATTTAGGTCATTTTAAATTCTTTTACATTACAAATTATGACAATAATATATAACTACCTTTTAAAGCTATGGGGTTTTCCTGCAGTTCTTGCAATTCTGTGGTAGAAATTTTTTAATTTTCCTAAATTACTGCAAGATGCTTGCTACTTAGGAAGTTTCTGATGTCACTTAATAAATACTTTCCTATCTGTATGTTTCCCACAGCCATCTTCTAAAATACCCAAATGTGTCGACCTTTGCTATAAATATAATTCTAAATCAGCATGATGTACAGCAAGATATTAAATTTAATTTCAATTAAATGAAAACTATGCGATAGATCATGTCATACTGTTAATTGGAAAGTTGTTTTTACAGTGGCAGTAATTCCACAGAACAGAACTGATGAGCTTCAGGATGAACTGATTCACCTTCATCTATGGTTTAAAAAGACCAATGTAGAGAGCGTGACTCTATTCAGAACTTTTGTTTTTGCATTTATTCTGAACTAATCAGTTCACTTAGGAGATTCTTCATTTCAGTCCTTTTGTATGGTGAATCCTTGAACTAGGTGGAAAAAAAATGTAGTTCACCCTCAAATCTAATTATAATTTAGCCACTGGCTCCCTAGAGTAGCATGGGTAGTTCTTTAGCTTCTGTGCTTTGGTTTGGCTATTTTTAAGATTGCTGTTATGATGTTTAACTGAATCGTTAACATGTAATGGGAAATTTATTCTAATTCAGCAATGTATTCAGCACTGAACACTTAAGAAATTGTTCTCAACTTTGCACCTAACTATCCTAAAGGCATGTTTTTTCAAACTTCTTAAATACAACTTATTACAACAAAAGCAAGAGGAGATATTGCTAATAGTTAGCATATTTTACCTAAGCACAGTCGATACGTGGGAAAGGTGGTAGAAAATTAGGCTCCTAATATAGACGTCAGCTGTATTTTACTGAATTTCACAGTTCTGTAAGAAATGGATCCAAATGGCAAGTTAAGTATGTTTGTCTTGCTGCCTATTCACTCACCTGTCCTTACTAAAGCACTTGCATGCAAAATTAAATTCCTTTATATGGAAACATTAGGGGAAGGGTGGCCCACATTAATTCAAGGCGGATTTCAATTAACCCTGGGGGGGAATAATGTGCCGCAGCAATGCAAAATGTGAAGATCATACCTAACAGCTTGATGGGCCAGCAGTGCAGTTACCCCTCTCACTTTCTGCCTGCTCTCTCGGGTCCGCAGTGTAGACGTCCCCTGGGTGTGCTCCGCTCCTGTACCCCGGTTAGGTTAGATGTACCTGCTCGCCACAGCTCCACGGAGGGCCTTGCACAACAAGCCTTCGTCACCTGGTTCTTTGATGCTTCTCAGTCTGCTGGTGAGAGACCGTGGAACATACAGGAGAAGCAGCAAGGGAAGAAAAGAGGAGGGCCCTTTCACAGCAGAGAGGGAGAGACAGTTGGTGTAGTTACAAATATCCTCTTCCCAGTGTGCCACAGAGCTCATGCCTTACGACTTTTTCCATGCTTGTCAAACAAATATTAAATGAGTCTGTCTGCCTTTCTACTAACCATTACCTGAGGGTTAAATCTAGTGCTGAATTAGAGATGTGAGTGATAGAAGCAGCTCCTTGCTGTAGAAACTGTTAATTGAATTACACAGAAAATGGTTTGAATTTTTAGTTAGGCATCTGCAGTGGCTGAAGCATCAGAGAGGATGGGAGGTTGTGAAGGAAAGTCCTTCTTAAATACCTCTATCTCAGTGTCCAGATGTGCATGCAGCTTGGGCTTAGTATCTTTAAGCTCAGGATCCAATGCAATACCCAGCTTCAGCTAATATTTTATATGGATGTGAAGATACTGAAAGATGTTAGCGCTTAAAAAAAATAAATAATGGGAATGGAGTTGAAGATCTTAAAGTATCTGTGCTATAGAGAGATGTCACAGTAGCAAGAATAAAATGCCTATGCTGCAAATCTGCTGACAGAATTAAAAATGACCTTTCTAAATTATATGATTGCTTAATAATGTTTGTTTGGAAGCTTCAGCAAAGTGAAGGTTTTATACAAGAAATAACTTCATTTTTAAGCCTGTATTAGGCTGGGTAGAGCAAAAAATATCTCACATAACACACATGGAAGGATCTGATCTATGCATAAGGAATTTCCTTCCATACTCCAAATCCAAGGAAAAATGTAAAGTTTGCAAATTAATTTTGTTTCATCCTCTATAGAAATTAAGTCCATAATAAATTGCACATATAAAGAGTTTGAATTGTTTGTGAAACAAAACTGATTGTTTTTAACATGATATACCTTTACTTTAAATGTAAAGAATATTCTTCTGTTGCAGTCTTGAGTTTTCTAAAATAAGTGAAATGAGAAATTTGAACTTGTTTCTGATTTGATTTTTAGTGATTAACCACATTTCCTTAGCTGTAGATAATTTCTCAAACCAGAGTGTTTCATGGATCTTCCACACCTTCATAGCAGGTTTGGATCTGCTTCAGGTGTGTTTACTAGAATGTTTAGTGTTTATATAATTTTTTTAATCTTCAGAGATAAAAAAATATAACAAATATGAAATAGCTCTTACTATTTGTAGATTGTGTCATAACTATTTGCAAGGACAATAGGCAATGAAATTAGAACAAAATTAATCTCAGCCCCTTACTGGAAACTTTTAATCAAATTACTCTCATCCATTTGTTATATGAATCTCACCATCTTGATAAAAGTAGTATTAGCTTATCATCTCTGAATTAAGAAATGGAATTAAAATTTATAGCGACACTCTCATCTGAATGCACGGAAAGTAAGTTCATAGTAAAATACACCTTGGTTATACATGCACTAATGTGAAGTATTTTCATTTGTCTGAAGTGTTTAATGCACTCAGTTGAATTATAGTTCCCTCTATCCAGTGTTACAATAAGGTAGCATGTTTTAACAGCAATACTAGAAATACAAAATTCTTTCATCACTAAAAAGCTGTCTCTGAAGTACTTAAACACTGCAAAATGCCATTGCTGTCAGCATAAGTAAGCAGGAAGTATTACAGACAGAAATTCCTCTAATTTATCTATTAAAGTCACTGTTGATGGAACTTTTTGGAACCCTTTTTGAAGGATTAAAGACTTTTTTTTTTTTTTAATACTTTGCTCTTGAAAGTGTTTTCTGCTCTGCGCCTGCTTGTATTTAAGCTTCTTATTGTGGAATCAGTGAGGATAAAGAGGTTTCAGTAAAGTACCAAGTTTATTTGAGCACACAACTCTTGACTCTGAGAAGATTAGCAAGTTTGAATATTAGCTTTTTTTCATCAGCACATATGATTCTTAGCACCAGCATTAACTGTGAAGGTAACCTTTCCATAGAAGAGAAGGAAAGGAGAAGTATTTCCAAGTGGGTACTAGAGTCAGGATCATATTCTGTTCTCACCACTGAAAATAATTGGACTAGATGTTTTTTTGAGAAACCAGTTATTTCTGTACTTATGCATGAAATGAACTGCAATTGACTGAACAGAATCTGCAAGATGTACCAATAAGTGAAGGAATTTTCTTCCTCGGGCATATTTGGCTGCATTCTTAATTCTACAGAACTTACGATCCTGAATAAAATTGTGATAAATTGTTGTGGTGTTTTTGTTTTTTGTTTTTGTTTTTGTTTGTTTTTTTTTTTAAACAAATGAAGAAAAAGTTCTCCAACTGTGGGTTGAGAGTGGAGAACCTTTAAAGTTTTGACTGGCTATTTCCACCATCTTTGCTGTTTCATCATACTTTCTTTTTCTTCCAACTTTGGATAATTCAGATTGTAACTTGCATGTTCTTCTCATATTATTAAAGTAGTACTTCGCTACATTATTTCCATCTTGGATGTTCTTGAGGAATATAGCTTCTTTAAAATGGGATATATCGGTGAATTAAAAAATATCTTCATGTTTCTTTGGAATTTTGCTTTTTAAACTGCTTCATGAGGCTTGACCTACCTATAACACAATTTTTAGCCAATCTATAATGATTTCTATCTCCTTTATTTGAAACAGATGGTTCACAAGCACCAGCCAGGCCCCCTAAACCACTTCCTCGGAGGACTGCACCAGAAATACACCACAGGAAAGCATACACCTCTGACAGTTCCACGGAAAATGTGGATGCCAAAATTGCAAAACTTATGGGAGAGGGCTATTCCTTTGAAGAAGTCAAGAGGGCACTTGAAATTGCCCAGAATAATGTTGATGTGGCCCGTAGTATTTTAAGAGAGTTTGTCTGTTTTCCTCCACCAGTCTCCCCACGTCTCAATCTATAGCAGCATCAAGATATTCTTGGAGCACGTGAATTCTACATATACACATGTGGATTGGGGAATGAAAGAAAGAAGAAAACGGAATATTTTTCTTTCATCCTTAGTAGAAGGGTGTTTGTTTCCAGCCGTTTATCAAAGGCTCATGGCTGCTCTGATCAAGACTTATAAATATGCTGAGGCTTATGTATTTTTGCTAGCCATACTTTTTTAAATCAGGGTTGAACTGACGAAATAATTTAAAGAAGTTTACTTCCCTAGAACTTTTAATCTGTGAAATGCTTTTTCTTGTTTACAAGTTGGCAAGTTACAGTTTTCTAGTTGATGCCTGTACTATGTTCCTGTTCATATTCCCTTGTACTTGTGGTCAGTTCTGCTGTAGCATTCCCAACAGTTTCCATGCTGACCACCCCATCAACTAAATCATCACTTTCCAGAACTTAGGTGTTTGGGTTTTTGTTTGTTTGGGTTTGTTTTTTTTTTTTTTGTTTGTTTGTTTGGTTTTCTCCTCTTATACGATGCTTTAATTGTTTTTTGCATTTCAGCTCATCAAATGCAAAAAATATGTGGCCTTCACTACTGATATATTATTTTTTCTTCTGAGATTCCTTTGCTTTTGAGAGAGGAAATATCTGAATGTAAAATGCATTATTCTGTCTATGAACTGCCTTTTTAAAGGTGTTTTGACAGTAATGTTGGGCAGCTTTCTGTTTAACATGAATTCCATGACCTGTAGTCCTCAAGATCTTTTATACACAATTTCCACAAAAAGAATCCCAACCAACAAATAAAACACTTCATGCAGCAGTGATGCTGAGTTCTAACATGTAAAAGCTCTTTCAGATTTGAGTATTTGATTGCAAATGTTCAAAAAAGCCAAATGCACATGATAATATTGTGTTTTGATTACACAGTAATGGCACCAGTTCTCTGTGACTGATGTAAACTGAGGCATGCCAGACTAGAAGGAATCTTTTTGAATCGTATTAATGGTATTCAGGTAAATTCCAATTCCAGCTTCTGTAAAGTAGAATGCAGTTGTTTTTTTTTTGTTTTTTTTTTTTTTTTTTTTGAGTGATTATCTTGTGGTCCACTGTGGCTTGGATCAGTTTGTATTAACATGGAAACTTTAAATCTTTGATGCACTGTTAATTCCTAATGCTACTGTAGCAATATTTTTTGCAAAGTTCTTTAGTAACCTCCTCCTCTGTACACTTTGTTATTCTCAAGTATGTGTTTAATACCCAAATTCATTCACTCACTTTCCAGCTGCTTAGTTGGAAATACATTTCTGCTTTGTGTGGTTAGTGATACTCCAGGCTTAGATGTTTTATTTTTGAGCCCAAATTGATGCAAGCCAAATTAAAATATCTTCCCAATTTTAGAGAAGAGATAGACAAGACAACTCTGGTTTTAGTACACTCAAAGTTAAGAGTCCAAATATTTCCAGAATAATTCTTAAGATTGTTGCTTTCTTGTTTGTTTGTTTGTTTTTTTGTTTTGTTTTGGTTTGGGTTTTTTTTGTTTGGTTGGGGTTTTTTTGTTTGTTTTGTGGGTTGTTTTTTTTTTTGTTGTTTTTTTTCTAACTTTGAAATGTTCTTTTGTTTTATTACTATTGAAAAGTTAAAACCATGTGGTAGTTAGAATATTTTTCACATTTTGAGATGTGACCAGTATATGAGAATTTTCACAGTGTGCCAAGCTGGGTGTGAGGTATATGTTTGTTGTTCCCTCTCAGCTGTCAGTGTTCTCCTTTGCTCAGAGCAAGTGGTAAAATTTACATCACTTACAGGATCAGATCTCGGCAGCCAGTGCATTTGTTTTAAAGATTTTTTTTTAAAGACAGCAAATGGCTGAATTACAGGATTCAAAATAACTGGGAACACCCAGTGGAAATTACTGCGATATCTCAAAGTCTGTTGTTTCATCAAAGAACTTACTCTTAAAACTAATTAAATAAATTATTTTGTAACATCACAAAGCAAAGTATGGATATCATTAATCTGCTTCAGTGATAAAAGATGATCAGGAGAATTCAGGGTATAGGGAAGAGCTTCTGTTCCATTTTGAGTTAAGAAAATGATTCTGAGTTTATATTCTAAAATAGGGCATTTTCAACTTGCTTTAAATGTTCATTCCTTGAGTACAGCTTATGAAAAGTTTTGATTGAAGTTATATTTCTGTGCTTTTACTTCAAGTAAATACCTTTGTTTTGGGGGAAAGTTTTGTGTAATCTTGAACCCTCTTGTTCATTTGGTTTGTTTACAACATCAGGCTAGCATTTTAGCTAACTATAAATTCAGACTGATTCAAGCTATTAAATTAAACACTCTGGTTTTACTGGAATTACATAAATGAGGTTCTAGCATAACTGCCAGCATAGCAATAATGACAGTGAAAAAAGAACAATTTACAAGGGCAAGCAAATAATCTGCAGACTGAGTTTTGAAATTTTGAATTGTAACGGAGAACTCATTTTCCCATTTTTATGCAGCATCTTAGTATAAATTACAGCCTTATATTTCAATTAGAGGCTGGAACTGCTGCCTGATAGATTTAGGTTTTTAAATTTTTCCTTCTCCTTTCTGGTCGTGATCACCAGTGACGCATTTTTTTAGTATGTGTTAAAAAAAGCTTGATGAGCAATATTCTGAGTGGTGACTTGAAAAGAGTTCCATTAATCTTTAAATGAGTGTGCTAATAACACTTCTAAGCAGTGGAACATGAAGACTATTTCAAACCTGTTTTGGTTAATAGTTTTAAAGTCAAATAGAGCAAAATTGCTTTGCTAGAGTGTTGATGTTTACTCTTCAGGAATTAATAGGCTTAAAATAAATTAATCTGGCTGCAATCTAGTTCTCTAAATACATAGTTCTCTAAACATATTTTAACCTTTGGAAGACTTAAGGGTTTGAGCCTGGCAGTGTGTTATACACATAACTTTAAGGAAGACTGATGTCTGAATGAATGAACATCTGTGATGAATGAACAAAGCTGGTTAAACTCAGAAACATGTGCTATCATATTTCTTCCAATTAAATGTCATTGTAGGCTTTAGAACACCATTCTGATGTCTGTTGGCCTCACCTTTTATCTCCTTTTGGGTAAATCATTTCAGTTTAAGCAAATTGGCTGAATCAAAAGTTGAGCAAAGTAAGTGGACATCAGCAGCATGGATCTTTTCCAAAGAATATGAGTAGAAAAAATATTGAAATTGTGATAAAATAAATGGATTTAATATGATTAGCCATGTTAATGGCTTGGCTGGAACTCTAAATGGCCACTGGTAAAATCTGTTAATGTTCAGTATCTCAAGAGTGCGTCTGGCACAGTTTTTTTCATAATGTGAATTTAGGAAGTTTTGTACCAGGATCATTTCTTCTGTTATATTTCTCTCATTTTCAGCTTGAAGCTTTACTTTGCACTGATGACTCTGACCTGAAAGCATTTAAATTTGTGTCTTAAAGCTTGACAAATATTGAAGAAAATGAACACCATATTCTAAGCAAATTCAGGTTCTACCTGTTGACCTGGAATTTAACGCTTTTAGGAATGACTTCTTGAAAAAGGACTTCAGTAGTTTTCATTTTGAAGGATTTTTCTTTCAAATAACTATTTTATCTGAAAATGCCTTTTATAAACTTGTCTAACATGTGGCAAACTTAGTGATGTGTTCAATTAATTTATATTTTATTCAATATTCTTTTTAAAATTTGGTTATTATGTAAGCTCAAGTTCTTTATCTGTTCATGTAAGGTATTTTATAAAATTAATGTTAACAGAATGTTGGGTTGGTCTGTGATTTTTCAAGACTCTGTTATTGAATAATACCACTTTTCATATGCTGCTTTAGAAACATAGCCTATCCTACGTAGGGTTCTTAGAAACTGTTGTTTTCTAAGCCACAAAAATGAGGTGTTGCTGTAAAGTAAGGTGAATCATTGCATTGAGACATTCCCTTTGTATACCCATACATTACTTCATTTCTAAATTTCAGTGGTAAAAAATTATAAATTGGCAGTAATTTTGGAATGTGTGTGTAACAGTTGTATGGGAGAAAGATGATAATCATTAAATAATCAAAATCCAAAGTGGTGAACATATAGTCTGACTGTACTTTAATATACAGGCGTTTTTTCCTAAAGAAAATTACAGTAAGCTTGCACTGATATTTCTTTAACAGCCTGTGCATTTTAATGTAAAAAATATTTTAGTAGTGTAAAATATTTTGTTCTGTTACTGTATTCCAGCATTTTGAAAAAAGGTTAGGAAAATCCCCAACACCATTCCCTGAAGGTCAGATCAGACCTTCAGTGATAGGATTTTCACGGTACTTTCTTCAGCCTTTAAGTCCTTATCCTTTATATAGGTCAGTAATCATATTACTAAGTAGGGAGATTAACTGTTCGGTATACTTCTCTGTAGTACTATAGTTTCTTATTTCTTAAATTTTTGCTCTTCCAGTGCGAAAGTCAGCTGTCACCTTACTGTCTTATAATAAAATTTTAGCAGCTCAGTGCTTTAGGAATATTTCAGAAATTTTTGTCTCAGACTCAGTCATTCATTTCGTACAAGATACCTGCCTCCATTTATCAGTTGCAATGAGTCTCTATCAGGAAAATTATAAATTTAGATTTTAAAACACAGTATTACTTTGGCACCTAAACATTCCATTTGTCCTTAGATGATTTCATGTCTAGCAGGGAAAATTCTTGTTCAAAATAAATTATAAATCCCAAATCTCTTAATCTTAAATCACAAAATAAATCTTAAATTTCTGAAACTTAATCCCATAACCTTCCTGAAAATCATAAGGAATTTAAAGGCCTCAGAATAGTATGAACCTTGACAAGATCCTTGCCTCCTAGACCTGCCAGAAACAAAAGCAGAAACCCATTGAATTCTGATCTTTGACTGTGAAGCTGAGCTGCTTGCATCTGTCTTGATCTGTGAGGGAATCAGCCAGTCTAACTACAATAATACGTATTTGAAAAAAGTCAGCTTTTTGGGTTTTTTTGGTTGGTTTTTTTTTTTTTTTTTTGCAATGACTGCCAGCAAGATGGGAGAGGAGCTGTCCTGGTTGGGGCTGGCCTAGAGCTCCCGTTGGTCTGGCAGCGGGAGGAGCTGCAGCCCCCTGAGACCCCAGGGGCTCCCCAGGTCCCAGTGCCCTCACCTGTGTGCGGGGGCGGGGGGAGCACAGCTGGGGGGCTGGGCCCCGATTGGCTGATAGTCCCAACCAGGACAGGAGCAGAGAACTACAGAGAAGATAATTCTGTCCTAACAATCCCAGCCCCTCTCTCCTGTTGACATAGGGGATTTAGCTGTTTTGAATTGCTTGGGTGTCTAGTGCAAATGCAGTATTTGTTAAGATTGCTCCAGTCTTCAATTACCTTGTCCTCCTCTAAGATAATTTCTGTAAAAGACTTGCTCTTTTGGAACAGGATGCCAGGGTCTTAGCAGTGGTGGGAAGTGTGAAGTAGCACACTGCTCAGAATGTTTTTTGATGCTAGCAAAACAACCAAAAGCTTCATAAGGATTTAAGTAGAAGCACCTCTGCTTTAAAGCTCATTGTCTTGGTTTTTGAAGGGTGTTTATATATACATGCATTTGTACGTGCTAGTCTGGTGAAGCATGAAGGAGAGAGTATTCCAACTGATGCCAGCCTGTGGAGTTCAGAACTAGGCTGTGGTACCAGGATAATCAAGCTACTGTGGTCGTCCATGTTTGGAAAGGCAAGTTTTTCTCCATAGGTAGCTGGGGATGTGCATAGATTTACCCCAAAATAAATAGCTTTCTTTTGTGCATCTGTGTAATAGTTAGGACACTGAAAAGAAATGCTCCATAATTTTCATTAGACCACAATGCAAAAAGTGCCCTAAGGAGAACTTGCATTGGGTTAATTTGCTAATTACATATCACTGAATTTCAGATGCTCTAGAAGGATAAGTCTGTATCATCAGCCATTCAGAAATACCTCAAGTTAGTGGCTGGCATGGTTTTCTGATGCTGTTACCTTGCTTGAACATGTGACTTTCAGGTGTTTCCTTTTGAAGTTTACATCTCATTACCAATTCAGTGTTGTCCATATAAAATTCTTGGATCGTTATTTCAAAAGTTATTCTCTGTACCTTTCAGTATGGCTGTTATCAGTAGTACCTTTACTATCTAGGCTCATACACTGAAACTGAATCCTGCTCCCACATATCCCAGCTAGGCCCAAGTTCAGCCCTGCCTTTGTCCCACAACAGATACATCACTTTGCATCCTCCTCTGCTTCCTCTAGCTGTTTTTCCTCTCTTCCTCCCATCCCAAGTCTCTTCAGAGTGACATCAGCCACCATCCTTCATCTCAGTAATGACAGATACTTGACAGTTTCCCATCTCAGCTTGCAATCGCATCTGTATTTTCTTCTGTAATCCCTCATAAGCATTCTGCTAGTCCCATCTGTCTCAATCATTATACAGATTTTCCATGCCGTGTCTGAATGGCCCCTGTGAGCACAGTCATCCAAAATGGCTTCAGAACTCGGTGAGAAAACTGTTTTCTTGGTTAATATCACTGACATTTTTTCCTGCTCCCTTTGCAGCCTGGAAATATGCTCCTGTGTTTCATGATTTGTTTGTCAGGGACGGAGATGAAATCCACTGCTTATTTCAGCAGATCCTTATTGTGTTTTTGAGATGTGAAAAGAAACCAATAAAGACATCCTCTCCTAATAACAATCCTTGTGTTTGGGATGACTTCTGTCTCAATATGAGAGTTAAGAAGTTTGTCCAACAAATGTGGTTTGTAGCTTGCAAAGTCACAGTTATATTTGATTACTTTTAATACTGAGTAAGGTGCAGGTTGAAGGGATAAATTTTATAAGATGGGTCAATGAAGTTGGGAAGGCACTTGCATATAAATGTAACCGATTGCCATGAGTGGCTGGGATAAAAGATTGCGTCTATATCTTTGAAGTCAAAGTAAGTATCATGTAGCTTGAAAACTCACACAGAAAAAGTAAAAATTCAACATCTGAATGATTCCACCAATGGCCCCCAAAAGACACGTTATTCTTCATTTGTCAGGCAATCTTGCGCACAGGCTGTTTGTGATGATGATAATTTTGTCGCTTTTAAGGTGAAGCAACATTTGTGAGCATAATTGTAGTCAGACGATTTCCGGTTTTGCATGCTGCTGCCTGGGGGTGTATGCATTATAGTTTTCCCCAAATCTAACAGAAATGGATGGTTTACACTAGGTCTTACACAAATGTAGACTACCCACCTGGAAGAGATCCTCCAGAAACAAGACAGTGGATGGTAAGGGAAGGGTTGAGAATGTTCAAGATGAGTGAGCAAAGGGGTGGTGGTGTGTTGGAACTGTGATTTACCTTGGGGGAACAGGAATAGCGTAATGGAAAGAAGAGGAAAGGGAATAAGGGTGAAAGGGAAATGTTGAGAGTAAAGTGTGGAGTGAATCAGGTGAGAGAAGACAGGTGGAAGTTTGGAGTAAAGAGCAAAAATCAGAAGAAAAAAAAAAGTTTGATATCTTAGAAAATCAGCGTGTGGGTGGAGGGGGGAATTTGATTTGTGGCGCGCAAGGTTCATTGAAGTGAGGGAAGTCTTACCATGCTTGGGGCACAGCATAGTCACTTGAAAAGGTCGTTATGTGCCTGCATGTATCATTTCTAGCTGACCTGTGCCATAGTTAATACCCTTGTTTTAGTGTTTACCCTCACACTGCCACTCTTCACCCCGACCTTGCTGTGGTCTCTGGCACAGCTCTGAAATTCTGTGGCAAACCACTTGGTCAGTTCTCATAGCAAGTGGTGTAACATGGTGGTTTCTCAGGCCCTTCAAGACTTTTCTGTATGTTTTGAGGTTTAGTTCTAACAAGATGACTATTAACAATAAACAAATCTGGCTTGGAGTTCAACAGATTCGTCTTGCAGGCATTGGCATCCTTTCCTTTGATGTGTTGGTGTTGCTGAGTAAACAGTCTCCGAGATTATTAGGAGAGGCAGAGTCTTAATTGTGTCTGTGCTCTGTATTTGTGATGTTAGATACTGGCTGACCAGGGCACCGCTGTAGGCTATGAACCTGCCATCAAACTGGCTCTTGGCTCCCTTTTTAACCACATCCTATAACAATTCCTAAGGGCCCAAGACCAAATTAAAATTGTCTGTGGCTTCATTCAAAGATACTGTGGGTATGCTTTTCACTTCTTGTGGCTGTATAACTTACTGTATTCATGTGTGGTGCCATGAGCATAATGCTATAAAATTCAACCTATCCTGAAACCTGTGTCATTTCCATTCTTATTTAGTGGTTGATATAATTTGCCTTGTGAAGTACACAAGGTTCCTGTGATGGGGTGCGCAGGACAGAGGTTAATTTTTTGCTTGTGATGAGTACAGCAGGGTGGACTAACAGGTAATACACAGAGGCTTCTGTTGATGTACAAACTATCTTAGCAATTTTTCAGTGATCTGACCTTAAGGGACCTTGTATTATTTGTACTATGTCATCATTGTATTTGAGCTCTCTCCATTACAGTAATACCCATGCCTCCTGAGACTGCCTGGTCTTCTCCCTTTCAAGACTGTAGCAAAGTCTGTCAGAATAGCTGTATGAGATGGGTAGAGGGGTACTGGTTGGCTGATTATTTTTTTAGTAGCATGTATTTGTGGGATAAAAGTGATTTCAGGAGAAGGGTTTTTTTTTTTTTTCTTTTTTTGGAAGAGAATGGTTTTTAAGGTGGAAGAGCTTTTCTTTTCAGTTTTTGGAAGCTATTGCACACACCTTTAAAGAAGGGAGGATGCTGGTACTCTTTTTCCTTGTTTTTCAAGGTATATAGTGAACAGTATCTTCAAGGGAGCTGCACATTCTCCAACTATTATTTTCTGCCTTGGTTAATCAAGAACTAAGAAAACTTCTGCTCTTTATATATTTTCTGAAATGATGCCAAGCTACTGATGCTTGTTCAACAGTTACACTGTTTGAACAAGACATTGTTATCTATCTCTTAGTGACAAGTTAGTGACAACGGGGTAGAAAGGTTTATCAGAGGAAATGGGAAGGAGGGATGTGATAGAGGTACCTGCAAAGGAAGAAAATGAAAACAGGTGAAGAAAATACTCTTAAGAAAATAAAGAAGAAATAAAATGGTTCATTTGATGACCATTCTTTCGCCAGGTGTAAATGAGAAATGTAGATAACATCATTAGCTAAAACACAAATGGTGGCAGATAATAGAACTTAATAATTTTAGTGAATGCTGCTTTAAATTAACAGCAAATCTCAGACAAAAGGAATGGGCCTTTTGTTTTTTCTTTGTTTTATAACAAAAATATGTTTAACATCATCTAAGATTAGAAACTGATAGTGAGAAAGTTGACCAACTCTTGCAAATGAATGACCAAGCAAAGAAAACCTCATTTGTTTGACAGTTTTATATCAGAGCCCTGTTTGGAGAACCTGTTAAATCTAGAAAATGTTGACACCTTACTACAGCAGAAGACCTCTTAAGTCTTGGGAAGGCTCATAATACATGTC